TAGTGCGTTCGCTTCGTAAGCGAAAGGTCGCGAGTTCGATCCTCGCCGGGGGCTTTTTTCATCCGATCCGACATCGTTAGACCGAATTTCTAGGAAATCTTGAGATCGGTGACCGGTGGACGCCATGATGGATTTGGCGGTTGATGCCAGCAGTCAGTTATCTGCAAAAGTCAAAGCTTGAAGTCAAAGATCCTTCCATTTCTGTGAGGACGCTCTTGATTCGACCGTCATCTTTAACTGCGACAGACTGCCGTCACCCAATCTATTTCAAGCGCCACTCTTCAGCCGTGCGTGGCGCCGGAGTACTTGCGTGTCATCAATTAATTGGTTTTTCACGGATTACGGTTTCGGTAAACAGCTTAATGGTAGCCCGGATTTCAGGCATCTTGTGCGTATACGGAATTAAAAAACCAATCAACACCGCACTCCCTCAGCGCGTTCTCCACACGGTCTCCAACTACTACTAAATCCGGAATTGGCAGGTGAATTTAAGCGCGTCTTTTGACTCCAGCCCTAACGCATGCAGCCTATCATGAGTAGATCACGACCGTCCAAACTTCCTGGGTCCACAAAATCATCGACAGGGCTATGCTAGGGACCCATTTTCAAAATCAACAACCCTCACCGAGAATACGAGAATTTCCCTCCAATATATTAAGGAAACAAATTAAAAACAAAAAATCTCTCTATAAAATCTCACTGATCACTTCCTTCTTCTTATTCTCTCTCTACTCTCTCTGTTCTTCCCAGTGCCGCCAGGGCACTGTTTCTCTCAATTCTAGGTAATTCTTCCCCATAATTTTTTTATTTTTTTATCTTTTTCCGTTACATTATTCTTTGAAATTTATTATTTTTAGATCTGGGCTTTACATGAATGTTTTGCTGAAATCAGTTTATTGATTTTTTGGTTGTAAGGATTAAAATTTATTTTTCTGGTATTGCAAATGTAGCCTGAATCAGGCAAAGTTTTAATCTTTGATCTGATTTTTCCATTAATTTTTTTCCTCTTTTTAGAATCTGGAATGGTGTGAATTGATCATGTATAGAAATATTGCAAGATTTGCTTTTGATGATTAATGAATCGATTTCCTGGATTAGATAGATTCCAAAGGTCTGGACTTTTAAGGGTTTTGAACATCTGCTATGTGAATTGCCAAATTTTTGTAAAGATGTTTGACAATTCCTATCCTCTCATGTTTCAATATTTGGGATTTTGATTCCTGGATTTCTTGTATGTTGTACATTGTGTTAGGTTCTTACATATTTTGTACTTACTGTGTGTGTTTTCGATTGGTAGATGACTGCGCACTCAGACCCTTCTGCTTCTGACCCCCAAATGATTGGGAATGCCTTTGTGAAGCAGTTCTACACTATTCTTCATAAGGAACCAGCACAGGTTTATAAGTTTTATCTGGACTTGAGTGTGTTAAGCCGCCCTGGTCCCGATGGTGCGATGAAGACTGTGACTAGCCTTAAAGTAAGTTTCTATTTACACAAACCATGCACCAGGAATCATTGCATTTTATTTGGTTCTTATTTACAACGATTTACAAAACTTTTCGGTAACTACTGAAACAGGAGATAAACGAGTTGATTCTCTCATTGGACTACCAGAGTTATAGGGCTGAGATATCTTTTGCTGATGCTCAATTTTCATATGCAAACGGTCTGATTGTATTAGTTACTGGCTTTTTGATTGGAAAGAATGATGTGAGGAGGAAATTTACAGAGTCATTTTTTCTAGCTCCACAAGAGGGAGGCTATTATGTCTCAAATGATGTTTTTAGGTATGTTGATGACAATGAACAAGTGGGTGTGGCAAATAATGATGTTGATGAGAGCACTCAAGCTGCTTTGTCCCCAGAGCCTGGTGAGTTTTATGCAGCAGTTAAGATGGAAGTTGATTCTTTATAGGGGCAATATATAATTTTTGGCTCTTGATTGCAGAGCTAACTCACATGCCAAAGAATGCAGTGGCAAATCACACTCCTGTTCCTTCAGATAATGGTGTTAATAGTGGCAAAGAAGTCAGTCATTCATTGGAGAACGGCAAAGTTTCTGTTTCGGATAATGAGGTGGTTGCTGAACAGATAGTGCCTTCAAGTGAAGAAAGTCAGTATGATTCTCGTCCAGCCAGTCAGACTGCTTCCCCTAAAATTCAGGATGATGCTCCAAAGAAGTCATATCTATCTGTTGTGAGTTCATACATGCATGCAAGCATTTATAAACGACTTATGTGAAATAAATAAATAAAATTTTATCTATAAGAATGCATAGGGTGATTTGGAAGCATTGTTTAGGTAGATTTTGATGCTTTGCTTTTTCAATTGTTTCAGGTACATGCATTGTCGAAGAATTCTGCTCCATTTATTGTGAGAGCTCCACCTCCAAAACCTAAACCAATGGAGCTGTCACGTAGAGCTGCGACACCTGAGGCATCTGCTCCTAAGAGCAATAAGGCCTTGGAAACGAACAATGACTTTTCAGGTTTTTGTTTATTATTCTTCTATTGACAACTACCCAGTGGTTTAAAAATGAGATATTGCACATATTCCATACCTTCTCTTTTATGCATTCATATTCCTCATATCCACTTGTTTCAGGCACGAATACTTCTATATTTGTTGCAAACTTGCCTATGAATGCAACAGAGGAATTGCTTAGCGAGATTTTCACAAAATTTGGACCAATTAAACCCAATGGTATTCAAGTCAGAAGCTTTAAGGTCTGTTCTGTTTTAGAGGTGTTTCAACCCTTCGTGAGTTTTCTATGTTTTTGGCATAACGCTTACAAGCTTCACTTGGATCTTATGATTTCAGGACAACAAAAACTGCTTTGGCTTTGTAGAATTTGAATCTGCTACTTCAGTGCAAAGTGCTATTATGGTATTTGTCTTGTCTTTTCTTATCATTGGCTTAAAGGTTTACTGAGAGTTTTGAAAAATAATATTTTTGGACAAAACCATGAATAGTTCAGACATTTGTTGGTGCTGTCAGTCACCTGTTGTTTCATGAATTTGTTGCATCTCACATATATAATTAGATAAAATTTAGTTTTGTGTTGAATGTTGGCACTCTGTGTCTCTAATTTTTCAAATTCTCATCATTTCAGGCTTCTCCTATTACAATTGGCAACAGAAAAGCTAATATTGAAGAAAAACGAGGCAAGTTAACACATCTTCTGTGTAACTATCTCTTTATTGCATCAAAGGCAACATTTCGTATCCTAAATATGTTCACAACATAGTAGAATTTATATAAAACGCATAGACAAATGTACAAAAGGATTTTCTCTCTTTTCAGAACTATAAACTGAGTAAAGTATCACAATTAAACTAGAAAACTACATTAAAAAAACCGAAAGAACATAATTATGGTTTACCCTAGTTAAATAAAGGAACTAATATCCAACTAGAGGTCAATGATATCAGTTATTTAATGATTTGTGTCTAAATATGACTACCTTGTTATTTGCAGGAGCCAATAATGGTGTGAAACCAGGTCGAGGTGGTTATAGAGATGAAAATGGTTACCTAAATGACAACTTCAGGGGCCGCAGGAACTTCAGTGGTGGCCGTAACTTCGGAAAAAATGAAAGGAGCGAGTTCTCAGGTCAAACTCGGGGCAGTACTGGGCGAAATGGAGATAGTAACAAGAAAATTTATCAGAATGGGGATCAAAGAGTTGCTCACCAGACTCAAACTGAAAGTTAAGGTGTGAAGGTTTAGACTAGTCATTACTTTCAGCACCTAAAATCAAATAGCCTTTACCTATTATTTCTTTTTACCACTTTCACATTGAGTTGTTAGAAAGTTATTTTAGGTAGGCAGTAGGCCTTCTGAGTTTTGGGTTTTTTGGAAAATATTATGTGGAATTTTCTCCTTTTTTCTTTATCTGAGTTAACTCTGATAAGATTATCTTGGAAAGTTGGGTTTCGTGATGCTATTTGGATTCATTAGGCAGAAGGAGCCCATTGCTAGGATTCATTAAGATTATCTGAGTTAACTGACCGCCTTCTTGCTCAATTGCGAAAATTGTGAAAAGGTAAGAGGAAATTGATGAAAGGTTAAGACTTTGAACAGGGTGTTTGTACTGTTTACAAAGAACTGGGTTGATTACTACCAATTCGGTATCAATAAGAAAAACAGAATTGACCTTGTCTTGTTTCCTTTGGATCATCCAAATCGGGAACTGGGATTGGATTAGCAGGAGTTATCCCAGCAATGGGCTCATGAGCCTGATGAAAGTATGGATACCCTCCCGTCAGTGGTGTGGGAAATTGATGGCCATTTGAGACGCTTGGAGCAGATCAAACCCTGCTGGATACATCAGATTGTTATTATCCTAGTTCCTATTGACTTCCAAGGTTGGCAGGCTCTTCTACTACTCCTTTACATAACTGTTTCTCGATTACTCTGTGGATAGTCCGTGTTTCTCGTCTCATAAATTTTACTTTTCCTTTTTCCATATTTAAACTGGAAAATCTCTAAATACAATTTCTAATTTCCTAAGTTATTGTGGTGATCTTCTCTTGGGGACTGATATGGAAAGAGTGTCGATGTCTTTCCGTACAGAATGTGATACACAAGGCCATTTTGGTGGGCTAAACTCTTGAGTCCAAATTATTGACAAAATGTTCCAAACATCAAGTTATTGTTTGAAAAAACGATTTATTCAAAGTTCAATTTAAAAACTCAAAATTAATAAGTAAAAATAAAAATATATAAAATAATAGTTCAGAAACCACTTTTAATCCATTATTTTTAAATAGCAACATAGGTAGCCTTATTTTAATTTAAAATATCCATTAAAAATAAAACTATTCAAATTTTTACATATTATCTAGTTTAATTTTGTAGTCAAATTTTTCATATTGAAACATTTAATTTAATAATAAATATACATATTTCTTGCTTAGAAAACTAAGTTCGGGTTTTTAATCAGAATATGAATAAAACGAAAAAAAAAAAAAGATAAGCAAAAACGAAAATTCCTTCGTTATGAACATCATTAGACTTACAAAAACAGCGGCGAAGTTACGGAGAAAAAGATAAGCAACCTTGGTGTCTGGTGACTTGGGCCAGGCTGAGCGAAAGCCAGGAGCTGCCACCTAAGCGTCGTCAACCTCCTCTTTTGTCGCGTTCAAACATTGCCAAACATGTCCCACCGTTCAAATGTCGCTTTGCCTTTAACCAACCAACACGTGTCATCCTTTTATGTCGGAGAATCTTTCAAACACCTTGTCTGCATCACTGACGTGTCCTCCCTAATCATCCCTGTTCTCTTACGAGACATCTCTCTTTCTTTTCAACTCCCTCTCTGACACCAGTTTTTTATTATGGGACTGGAAACCGGAGAGAAAAGAAAAAGAAAGAAAATGTGGGAAAATATTTTATTCATTTATTTATTTTTGGGTCAAAATTATTAGCCTTACACGTGGCTCGAACGTGGTCCTTCACTCTTCATTCCATTTGGTCAGTTCATTGTATTGTTTGCTCACCTTTTCCTGCATTTTCATTTTGCCCCCACAATACCTTCATACCCAATCATGATAATTAAGAAAATTTAACTCCATATTTTCTAAAATATAAAATTTTCAATATTTTGAGCTTTCCAAAAAAATTTCAGGAATAATTTCTGTTTTCCTCTGGATTAGGTTATTAACTTTATTTAATAAAATTATCAAAAATTTTAATTCAAAATTAATTTAAATAAAATTAATAATCAAACCTTTTACGAAAATATAAATTTTTCATAAAGTGTTCATTGTAAAAAAAAAAAGCTGTCAAAAATGAAATATCATAATCTCTTTCATCAAAATGAGAAAGGATTTTTTTTTCTCTACTTTAGTATCATAAAAGGGTTGTTTGAAGTTAAGATAGACTAATTTTTTTTTTAGAAATTTTTTAAATTGTTATAAAGGAAAAGAAAGCTTGAGAAACTAGCAATAAAATTGTATTTTATAGACTTGTTTTTGTCATAAGTTAATTCGTGGTGGGTTTCACATGATTGCAACTCTTCTAAATGAAAAAAAAAATAAAAATAGAACTTTTAATTAACATGAATTAACTCCCTTTTTGAATGTCATTTGTCTTTCTAATTTTATTGAAGATTAAGATAAGAGTTTTCATTTTGCTATATTTTGTATAAAAATTTGAATTTTTTTATAATATAGATGTTAATTTTTTTAATATGAAAAAATTATATTTTTTATATTTTAAAGAAATAAAAAAAAAAGGAAAAGCAGAGAGTATCTTAAAAATTATTATTATCTGACAGACTGCAAACTGTGATGTCACCCAAAATGACCAAAAACAGAGTCGAATAGTCGCAATCACTCATTAGCCCATCCATTCCCAACAGGAAAAAAAAAAGTAGGCACCCCTACCCACTTCTACGACAGTTAACTTCTTTCACTCGTTGACACGTGGCTTCCATCAAGCACCTTACTCTCACTTTCTTCAATATAAAAGAAAATGAAAAAAGAAAGGCGCAACTTGGCATCCCCGGCCCCTCTGCCCCTCCCCACATTTGTGGGACCCACTTCCCTTGAGGGAACCACGTGCATCTCGGCCCATTTCCTCGTCCCATTTTTTTTGTTTTCCCGTAGGTGATTGATTTCCTCGTTTACTTGGCTGTCATACCGATCAACGGCTGTTGGTGCTTCGTCCGCTTCTTTTCACTCTTTGGAGTCTTAAGTTCCGTTTGGCAGGCACTACAATTGCGGCTACGTTTCGTCCCTTTAGTAAGAATATAATCATATTATTTAAGAAAGCATTTTGACATAAAACGATTCAATTCGAAAGAAAGAAGTGTATAAACGGTAAAATTTTCTCATATTTTTTAATTTTAATCAAAATTTTAAACAAATTTATTAATTTTTAAAATAAATATTTTGTTTTAAAAATATAAATAATATTTATTAAAAATATAAAAAATAACTTTTTTATTAATTTTTAAAAAAAATCAAAAGGCATGATTAGTGCTCCCTTCCCTCACTGGTATTAAAAAAATAAAAGATAAAATTTTTCTTTTAATATTACTACGCCATCAAACTAACGATTGACTAATTGCTAAATTTACATGTTTAAAAGAAAATATTTTTTTGAACGTAATATTTATTTTAAAAATTAATAAATATTATTTAAAATTTTAATCAAAACTTAAAAGAATGAGAGTATTTTATCCTAAAATAAATAGTGATAAGACTTAACGTGTGATGAATCATAAAAATAGATGCAATAGCTATTTGAGAATTTATTTAAAAAAATTAAATCATGCATGTTGAATTGATTCGACACCTCTATGATAAAATTTATGTATGAAGTTCTCAATAATTTATTTGTTACTAATAATGATAATTCATAATTCAATAATTAAGTAATATTTATATAATCATAATACACAATAAATATATTAAGTTTGATGTTTAAAAAATATATATTTGATAAAATAATTTTTTATTAATTAATGTATAAAGTAATATATGATTAATTTATCACATCTGAGTATTTGACATAATTTCTCTACTTAAAAGAACAAAGTTCCTACTACTAATTTCAAAAAAAATATTAATTTATTGATTAAATAATATTTTGATTAGTAACTAAATTTTCGTAATCCAACGATATTAAATGTTTAGAGGATTTATTATAATTAGAGAAACTAGCATTATCTTTTAAGTTTTTTAATAACATAATGACATGAACATGACATGTTGGTTTATCATAATAAATATTGATAAATTAATTATTTATTAGTTGGTGCATAATTTCTCTACTTAAAAGAACAAAGTTCTTACTACTAATTTTAAAAAAATATTAATTTATTAATTAAATAATATTTCGATTAGTTACTAAATTTTCATAATCCAACGATATTAAATTTCTAGAAGGTTTATTATAATTAGAGAAAATAAAATTATCTTTTAAATTTTTTAATAACATAACGACATGAAATGACATGTTGGTATGTCATAATAAATGTTGATATAGTTTGATAATATGATCACGTAACATATTTCATTTTTTATGTCAATGCTACACAAGTATAAAATAATTAATAATAATTAATTAGTCAAATTTATGTAATTTAAAATAAAAATAAAAATATTTGATTTAATGTAATAGAAGAATAAAAAATTATTTAAATAATTTTGAAGTTTTTTCAACTATTGTTCTTTTTTAATATCTTCTAAATATTTCTTATTTTTTAAGAAATTTAAAATTTTTAAATTTACTCATTAATGAGATGTCAATCTCTTATTTATTAATAATATATAAAAAATATTTAACCGATAATATTTCAAATATAAATCTATAATATATCAGTATTGCGATAATAATAACAAACTAAGTCTAAGTGAAGCGGCGCATGATAGCACAAGCAACGGCGCATCTTTTACGAGTTTTTGGAGGCGTGGCCCGTGGGGGAGAACGACGGGAGAAAGAGAAAAAATGGGAAACACACGTGGCAAGTTCCTAGACACCGAAACCAAAACCGACACGTGGCCACTGCTCTTTGCTTTATTCATATAATGACACGTGTGTACGGCTCCCAACTTGTTTTAAAACACGCCAAAAAGGCAATCCTTCAAATATTATGTCAGTCACATACCACGTGTCGTTTTGCGCTTCTCCTGATCGCCACTTGGCTCCTCCCAGATACTTTTCCTTGTCAGTACTCGAGGGTATTTTCGTCACTCAATAAATACTTTCTTTCCTTTTCCCCATTTTCCCGAACCAAACCCTCCAAAAACACTCTCTGTCTTTCCATCTCTGTGCTCTCGCTTTTAATTCTTTCTGATTCTCTTCAATTCTTTTTCTATACTCAGCAACACACCCAATCCACTGTTTCCCTATGACCCTTTTTATTTTTATAAAAAAAATTCAATAAAATTAAAAATATTTGTTTTTTTTTTTCATTTTTTTGGGTGTAATGAAAGGAACTAGAGGCGTTCTTGTTTGAGCTATTGTTTCCAAGTAGGAGTTTTGGTTTAATCTTAACTCTTATATGTATTAAATTAATAAAAAAATCAATCTTCGATGTGAATAATCCAAGTTTATGCATATGGGTAAGGCTAACTCAGATCAAGGACTGGTGTCTTGTTTTGTTACATAAGCAAAGACACTAGCTATGTTTATATTCTTTTATTTATTTTTGGTCTAATGTTTCCATCAAAAATGGGAGAAGCAAATGAAAACAGAAGAAGTAGTAGGAGCAGCAGCAGCAGCAGGGGAATGAGAAATCTTTCTTTGCAGATAGAAAAGTACCCAAGAGATCTGTTACAAAGATTCATGTCAAGTGAAGCACAAGCTTCAACAAGAAGTGAAGGAGAGGAAGAAGATGAAGAAGTGGAGCTGAATCTTGGGTTGTCATTAGGAGGTAGATTTGGGGTTGATAAGAATGCAAAGAAGTTGACAAGGTCATCATCGATTGCTGGTTCAATACCAATATTAAGAGAAGGGGATGCCAATACTCCACCGCCAGTTCCTTACCCAACTCTCATAAGAACATCTTCTTTGCCTACTGAGACTGAGGAAGAGTGGAGGAAGAGAAAAGAGTTGCAGACGCTACGCAGAATGGAAGCTAAAAGGAGAAGAAGTGAGAAGCAAAGGAGTTCAAGAGAGAAAATGGAGGTGACTTTGTTAGAGGAAGAGAAGCAAACTGGAAGGGCCAATAATATTGGGGTGGGCGTAGGACAACCTTTTGGGTTGCAGAGTTGGGCTGCAGCTGCAAGGCAGGTGATTTTAGGAGCAGGGAGTGAAGTCGTGGGGTTGAAAGGGAAAGGTGGCGGTGGTGGTGCGGCTGGGTTTTCACAAGGTTTTATGCAGTCTTGTTCTCAAGGGTCTGTGGAATCACAAGGAGGAAGTTCTTCTAGTATGTCAGAGATGGAAAATAAAGCCCTTCAAGGTATTTTCCGCCACATTATTTATACGGGATTGCATGTGCATTTGGTTTCAATTCTGAGATTCTTCTTGTTTGAAAGTTTTCTATATAAGTAACTTTGGTGTAGATACTAGTATTGTTAATTGGGTTATATTTTTTTGTTAGATATTTGTAGTTTCATATTGGAATCAGGGATTAACTTCAGCTGGGAGACTGGTATTACCTCCTACATTTTTCGGTCACATTATTATTTTATTATTTTCTTCTCGTTTTTCAATTAGATTTTTAAGTTGAGGATTTGATAACATTTTGTTGCTGGGAAAGATACGATATTTTTAGTCTTGAAGGATTCACTCATCTTAGCTACTCTAAGTAGCTAGACTAGGTTGCTTTGGATTTCCTTGAAAGTTGGAGAAAATTATTGAATTGGAGTTTAATGAACTGTAGTTGGTAAAATCTACCAGTCTTGGAAGGGTTGTCCTTGTAACTGAGCACATTGATAGTGTTGTGCTTGTAGATGGTAATTTGAACAGTTGACATTTTGAAATTACTCTCCAAAGTGGAAATGCATTACAGCATTTCTAAGCTTTGACTAAATTGAATCATGCTATAATTTTTGTAAATGAGTACTACTCATATATAAATACAGATCCCTGTGCAGACTAAGGATTTAGGTCTGATCTCCTTCCTCTTTAAGAAAAAAAAGACATTGCCAGATTTTCACTATATACACAAAATTTGTTTGATGTTCATAAATATCTGCTAAACTTGGTGAATAAGCTACCCAAAGTTATTTTGGTACTTGGATTTAGAAATTGCTCGGACTTTATTGCTCTGAATTTAAAGCACATGAAACTGGAAACTTTCAATTTACTAACAAAAAGAGTTGATTTATTGAGCTTAGTGTCTTTTTTACTAGAAAGGGTGGTCCCTAGTTGGAGACAGGTTTTTGCATGAGATTTTTCACAGAATAAGTTATATATTTTGTTAATTAGAGGTGCAACAATTCAAAGATGAATGCTTTATGGTTTTTGGCTTAGTTCCATGGGCACTTAAAAGCATAAAATCAACCAGAGATTCTCTTAGGAATTCTTTGAGGCAGTCCTTATCTGCAGTCATAGCAAAGTATCTATGTCTGAAATTCCTGCACAGATAATAAAGTTTTAAACTGGGTATCAGTTATAACAAATTGATACTTCTTCAATTCACCTACATTTCAATGTCCTTGGTTTACATGCATGTTATTATAAACAGATATGCAACCCAGCATGGGATGGACCCAGAAAGCAGGCTTTGGTTTTGAGATTCCTTCATAGATCTTCAGAAGTAGGTTCACCCCCAGTTTCCTTAGGTTATTTGGGTGTGGACTTGCAGAAGTGGCAATCCTGGAAAGGCCTGTTGAATTTGATAGGTTTAGTTGGGTCCTTTATTTATCATCTAGTCAGGGTTGGTTGGGCTTCCTCACTTGTGACTGACTTTCATGAATTTTCTGCGAAGCAGTTAACATCTTCAGATAAAGGTAAGCATATCTCTGTTAGGCCAATCAGTCTCTGCTCCCAATTTATGTATCCATTTCCATGAAAGATTTGGCCAAAAGCACTCTCCGATCCATAAGTGTGAACCTGGGCAGAGGATGTAATCTGTTAGCCCTGTTTTAGTTTTTGAATTATGCCCTGAGATTGGATGTGTAATAAGACCAATTGATTCTAGTGTTGGACATATGGTTTCTAGTTACAGAAACAAAATCCTCATTCAAGTTCATATAGCTTATCTATTGGATGTTGGTTTCCAGTTGTTTCTATAGTATACCTTAGTATGAGAATTCCTTCTTCCTGGCCACTTCAGCATTATAGCTTGGAAACCCTAAACCCAAAATTTGTAGTTCAAATTTTCCGTAAGTTCTTACCATGTGCCATCTCTTTTGCCAACTTTTGTGGCCATTTAGAAAACCATATATCACCCAGTTAAAATATGATTATACAATGTAAGCCAACATTATGTCTTTTTGTTTAAGAATTTTGTGTTGATCCATGCTCAACATCATCTCCAATGGTTGAATCTCAAATTTGTATATTTCTGTAAAGTTATCAATGTAATAAGGAAGTTGGCTTGGCATTCTACTTTAGTCTTAATCTATCGTACTGTATGTATGTTTTCTTGTCTGCTCTTTGTGCTATAGTACTGTAGGAATGGTTGTGGGTGCTTTACAGAAATAGTTAGATGCAGTTGTTTTCCTGTTAGAGAGTTTTGAGCACAAATTAGTGGTTGCTAGTTAACACTCCGAGTATCATCATTAATAGAGAGATTGGTGCAGTAGATTGGGCTAAGGTTTAATTGATGTTGTGGGAGAATAATTGCCATGTAAAATCAGTACAGTTATAGGTGGATCGATTATTATGTGTTTTGAACAGCAGTTATGTTCCAACTGAATATGTAATTACGTATCCATGCCACTGCATAAGATGGTCTTGGTTTTTTAGACGCAGAAAGGTCTGTTTTTATGTGAATTAATTCAAAATTGTCGAACATTGGAAAATTTCAAGGTTACTTTTGCTTTAGATAATACCTGGGTTGATTAAGAAAAGACAAATCGGACTTTCTTTTTCTGTCATACTTAAAGATAGACCAGAATCCTGCTGTTTTGTCAGGTATTAGAGGCAGTATCTTCTTCTTAAAGACAATTTGACATGGGAGTCTCACACTATAACCGGATGCATATTTGCAGTCACTGAACTTAAAACTCATGGATAGTTTCTTGATAGAACTAGTAATTTGCAATGTGGAAACATGATTGAGAATAACTGGATATTTAAATGGGGAGTCTACTTACAGATGAAATCATCCTTGATTGAAGTTGCTTTCACCCCCTTGGATTTGCTGGGTGAATTCCTTAAGAGTGATTGCATGGTTTTACATGCCCTGAATGACACTTGCGCTAGGCAGCAAATATTTTGCAGCTTACTTGGAGGAGAACCGTATTGGTTTCTCCTGCTATTTCCAGGTAGTTTCACTTTCTACTTTTTTTACTTTACGGGTTTAGCCTGTTTGATTGTTCTTTGGTAACATGTGGAATAAGTTTTGAATTTAACCTCACATGTGCTGAATTTGTTTAAATGCTCCTATGTTAATTGGTTGCCACCCAATCTCTGGTATGTTTGACCTTGGTGTTGTGAATTTATGATCAAGCTTGAATATGCCTTTGGTTGATCCCCTCCCCTACAGGGAGCAGCTGGTTTCATCCTCTTATGATCACATGCATTGCAGGAGCAAGCAGTTGTGGTGAAGCTAGAAGCTCTGGTAGCACCCAATCCTTACAAGATCAAGGCAATCAAGAGGCTATGGGTTCTTCAGGGGCAAAGACAAGTGAAACATGCAGAACTTCCAGACTGGAGGTTGAAACTCTGTGTAAGGCAGTTGAAAATAGGGGGAAAGAAAGAGGGAATGCAATGGAAGATATGCCTTGTGTTTTCACAAAGGGAGAAGGTCCTAGTGGGAAAAGAATCGAAGGCATTCTGTACAAGTATGGGAAGGGAGAGGAAGTGAGGATAATGTGTGTATGCCATGGCAATTTTCTCTCTCCAGCAGAGTTTGTCAAGCATGCAGGTGGTGGTGATGTAGATCACCCTCTTAGGCATATAGTTGTAAACCCTTCCTCTGCTTCCCTTTTGTAATTTGCAGTTTGATGGCACCCCTCAAAAAATGGGGATGTGAAAATAGGGACAAATTGAAAGGTAAAAATTTTGGAAAACAGTTTTTTATTATTTTTTTTCCATTGCAAAGTTTGCAATATCTAATTTACTCTTGTTGAGGTCTCCTAGGAGAGATTTTCGGATGCCTCTCTTTGGATCATGTGGTTTCTTTTTCTAATGCCTGCTGTATGTCTCAAAACCTTAGTGTGGTTGGGCAATAATCATGGATGTTGTCTTTTTTTTTTCTTTTTCCTCTTCTTGCAATCACTTTCTGATCCTCATAGCACTGCGCTTGTAATCTTTACATGAAAGCTGCAATGCGTTTCAATTTTTTAATTTTTTTGCTTAGACCGACGGTACCATGACTAAATGCTTTTATACGTATCCTCTTCTTCATATATACATGGAAAATCCATGAAAGAAGGATTCGAACATTAAATCTCCGTACTCCTATGAAAGGATATCGATATAACTTCAACAAAGGCATATGTTCTATGGTTGAGCATCCCTGCAACTCTTGGCTAATGCCTAGCACATTAGAATATTACCTCAACAACAACAAAAAGAAAGAAAGAAATAATTCAATCTTATGACCCTGCAGTTGAATCTGTTACTCCTAGCACTGTATAACTTGAATGATGCAATCTTGTATAACTAGTGTAAGAATCATCACATTTACATTATAAAGCTTCAAAGTCAGATTGATTGAGAAGAAAGAAACAATACATTTTCCATAACATGGTGCTACAATAAAATAATGGTTGGTCAAACGATCCGGAAAGGAGCAAGAATTAGTGAGACAAGGACAGCTATGGAAATTTGTAACTTATCAACAAAGCAGTAAACGGTTCACAAGCTACCAAAACGCTGCAGATTAACCCAAAGACTTTGAAGAGGTAGGTAGGCACAGAATAGAAGTCAACAGCGGAGCAGTCTAAGGGAGAAGAAGGCACAATGACTTGGTTTGGTATTTAGCGTTACTTTTTTTTTTTTCCACTTTTCTGAATTTAAATGCTATCTCTGCATGTCATGTGACTTTGTGGTTGTCATTGGATTGAACACTGCAGTTTCCAAGTTGGGTTATTTCCTTTTGTTGTCCTTTTCAATGGAATGTATAATAGCAGATTGGATTGTTCTTATAGTTTGTGAGGAATATGCTGGCTTGTTCACATGTTTTCCCTATTTTTTTTCTTCTGGGCTGTGGGGGAGGTGTTCATTTTCTTGGAGGTTGATTTGCAACTCTGCAGACAATTCAAGGAATCTCTGAAGTTTCCCCCCAAGTGAGTTAAAGGGGGGGTTTTTGACTGGCAATTTAAGGTCAGTCAACACTTATATGCCAAACTAATTCATGCAACCTGTTGTATGAACAGAGATTGGTCAGCCAAAATTTCATTTATTCCGGCCATGTGGCACTATAATACAGTGTTTATTTAATAAAAAACAAATCTAATTCATGTAACCTGTTGTATGAACATATATAGCTATCAATACACATGCTTATCAAAGATGCCAATTTTGATATAATATGGTTTGCCTTTCGCTCGTCCTTTTTTCAAGTCAGCATGAAAGCATCTAAATCTGAGGCTCTTTTTCCTGTATCATATGCCCCTTTTGCTGTAGAATTTGGTGTCTTTGTGATTTTTAATAAACCTGGTTGGTCTGACCTGTAATATTTCCTTGGTTTAACAGTGGGGGTAAGTTTTCAGTGCTGATCCAGAGCGATTTAGGAACTTAACAGTCATATACGACCATTGTTTATACCCATACTTACGCACACGAGTTGGGAAAACTTGTGCTTACATATAACATTCCTTATCATATTCCAGAATTAGCTAAGATAAGTTGAAGCTATCTATAATCCTGTCATGCATGAAGACAAACTAATCTGCTGGAGAAATATGATGTTTATGCTTGGCAGGCTTTTTGCCTTTGATAGTTCTTATAGTTATTGGGGAGTGTGCTGGAAGACAACTACATCCACTTCCAAGTAAAGTAGCTGGTAGACATGTAAAGCCCCTGCAAACAATTTGCCCGTATAATATTGCTCATCGAGGCTCAAATGGGGAGTTTCCTGAAGAAAGTGTTGCAGCATACAAGGTATCTTTTGGTGCCATTTTGCTGATAGCCTTGCCAAGGGAGCGGTGCAGGGTCAGGTTGATTTGTTGAATATCTATGACTAATTTATTGTGTTGGGGCTCTAACGTGCACTGATTCTTATCAGGGTCTAGTGCATCCTGCGGTGCAGCATGAGAGGGTGGCCGTCAAGCAGGAGATAAAGAAAAAGAACTTAATTGATCAAGAGGAAGTTGTGTGTGACCTCTGTTTACTTGTGTGTGTCCTTGTGTATCTATGATACTGCTGTGTTGGTTAAAAGGTGACTTGTACCCCTTTTGTTCTGGATGGAGAGTGTGTTCATTGCTTTCTTTGTGATTAAGGGGTCTCTGGGTTTTGGAGTTGACTGACTGATGTGGTGGAGGAGTTTGGGGAACCGGCTGTTAGTTAATTGCAGTGTAGGGTGTTTTTGGTCTTTGGATGCTTACCGTCTTTGTTCTTTTCCTTTGATTCCTGATTGGATCTGATACTAAGTCAAGATTTGGGAGGGGCTCTGTGTTGGCACGAATAATGGTCCTGGAGGTTGCTGTTGTGGTCGTTCGCTGCATTATCTGTTTCTTTAATATTGTTGCTGCTGAGGTCTTTTGGTGGAGGGAGTTATTCCTTGCTCCGCTGCGGCTGATTCTGTCAGCTTGGTGATGTTCTTCAAGCGGTGCTGGTTCAAAGGTTGATCTGGGAGGCTTTTTGCTCTGAAAAGCCTGCTTCACGTTAGGAGGATCCCATTTTGCTCCTTCACCATCCGAATTGCTTGTTTGCTAGGGAGATCTGTCGGCACATCCATTTTGTTGGCTTTCAACTTCAAGGTCTGATGGCTCCTTTGCAGGGAGCAATTTTTGCTGTAGGATCTCAATGGTTTCCCTTAGGATCTGGTGATTGGATATGGGTTCTTTTGTTTTACGACCACCAAGCTTTCTTGGGTTTTTGGTTAGAGAGGCATGCTTGATGTCTAGGCAGGATTTTGGGAAAGGCACAAGCTTGAATCCTATGCCAGCAGGAGTCGTCATGACAATGTGTTTAAAGTCTATGAGTAGAATCGGTGGGAGTTTGGAACAGGATGCTGGCTCTTCACAGCAGGTTTGATTTGTTATGGTGTGGGTGGGATGCATTGGAATTGGCATTTTGATTAGGAGCTGTCATGATTTGTTTTGAGGGAGAGGCTTTTGTATAGGGAAAGGTTGGGACTCCTTGCTCTGTGTTCTTTTTGTAAAGTCTGGATTTTAAGTTGCTATAGGTTTGATGGCAATTTAGAACCTGGGACTGATCTTGATCTCTGTACAGGGATTGTTCACTCTTAGTTGATGAATAAAATGCTCAATTTCAAAAAAAAAAAAAAAAAAACATCTCATTGACTATCATCTCTCTCTCTCAACTACTACTATTTAGTATCAAATGATACAAAGAGATAAGTTAAAGCTCACCTGCACAGATAACAACCATGGAAAGTTATGAATATATTAGCCTGTGTGCTACTGAGACAAATTTGCATGGACAGAGATGCATAGTAACAACAGTGTGGTTATTTAATCTGTGCTTGTTCAATTCATTAAATGTAATTGTCCATACTACTGCAGGGAGATTAATTACTCAAAAGGATAATCCTTGACCATAACCCCTGTTTTCATTTAGATTAAGTGAGAACAGTAGTAGATTATCTGTACAAAGTCAATGTGAACGATTAACGAATCACAAGGGCCATTATCTAGTTATGGCCTCATAGAGAAAGTGATATGCACAATTCATTAAACCTCATTCATAACCTGCTTGGTCAGAAGGAAAGTAAAAGAAACCCTCTTTCAATTGTATTTGGTATGTATCTGTACTAGATATCACAGTTGAGCAGTGTGCCAAAGGGTATTAGTTTAAATGACATTCCTTTCATTCAGTTATGAAAACGATCTTGGATATTTGTTTTCTAACTTTGCAGCTCTGTCTAGATTCAAACAATTAATGGTTTAAGGTGAAATTCTTTCCTTTGCGAAGAAAGAATAAGACAGCAAGTTCGAGAAGAAATTCCTATGGATTTTCATACTTAAATTAAGTTGTTAATAATCATTCCAGGCAGATGTAACAACTGTTTTTGGTGTCTATTCCAGGCAAGCAATCTCTTTTGGTTACTGCATTCCTGACAGAGTGAATAAATGCTTTCTGCAGTCATTCTTGGAGATTACTTCAGATAGTTATTTCAATTTCATCAAGAACTATGTGGTTGGAATTGGACCTTGGAGGGAGACAATTGTACCCTCAATCAATAATTACTTAACTGAAGCTACTGATCTTGTTGCCAGAGCTCATGCTCATGGCCTCCAGGTGCATATTTTTCTCCATATTGGCTTGGAAATCCAAAGGAGAGTTTTATTAATCCATTCTCCGATTCTTTACTGCCTCCTGGTTTTTCCCTTTCAGGTCCATCCCTATACCTTCCGAAATGAAAACTTATTCTTGCACTTCAACTTCAGCCAAGATCCATATGAAGAGTACAACTACTGGATAAACAAAATAAAAGTAGATGGACTCTTCACAGACTTTGCAGGTAGACTCCATAATTTCCAAGAATGGACCTCTCACCAAAGAGAAGGTAGAGAAGGTGGCGCATCGAAGCTACTTCATAAGATTGCAAAAATGATTTCCTCATACAAAGGCAATGAAAAACTTCATTGACTGCTACACTTTCATATGTACAAGCTACCAAGTAGTTTCTTGTTGTATCCAATATAGACAACAGATTTGTGGAGGGAAAAACGATTTCAGATCTCCATTTTCATTATCTTTGAAACCATTGTCATTGGTTTTCTTAGGAAATACTGAAAGATATTCTGGGATCGATGCTTATTTAGTAATATCTGTATGTCTATACAAGCAGAGATGATCGGGGCTAGCACGCAGAGGCCATTTTAATTGCACTAAATGAAGCAATTGCCATTTAATTATGACCAAGAAGATCAAGAAGTTTAATGGCAGGCCAAACACTGTTATGCCAATGTTAGCTCTTAGACTAGTTATTAACCATTGAAAGTTTCCTTTCAAAATATATATAATAAATTCCCAGATGTGCTTTTGAAAGCAAACTGCTTGTAATAAATGGCATACCTTCCTCTAGGCATGAGGAATTTGTCATCCTAAACACCATTTGGTGATTTCATCAAAAGCATGTCTAGTATACAAAAACCTGAGATCATACCAACCATGCAATCTGCTACAGTTAGTTCTACCGTAGGAATGTGAACAGAAAGTATCATTATTCCCAATGTAGTAAATCCTCCAATGATTGTTAACAGAAGAGTTTCTGGCCAAATTTTACCCAAAAAGAAAACATCCTGTGACCATCAAAATGAAGCAAAAGATCAGGATCGATGACGGTAAAAATCCAATATTTATTAAGATTAAGCATTAGTTTCCTTGGTTATAGCCAATCATAGACAAAGCCCAAAATTGCAAAATAGGGAAAACACTAAATTACAATACCAGACCTGCCTTGGTCTACGTTACAAATACAAAGTGAACTGGAGTACATGTATGAAGCAGCCTCCAAAACATTTTCTGCCCAAAATTCACATCTGCTATTTTCTGCAGATTCAACAAGGGTTGTCCTCAGCCAGGGGAACAGGAACCATATTAAAAGCAAAACAAAAACCCCTGAACTTAACCCAAATGATGTTCCAATTCCAATTTTAGGTGCGAATGTACAAATTACAAGTTTGTTATGATTTCTACACTCGAGCTGTTCCTTAAAGATCACAGCATGCACCCAGAAACCTCATTATTGCATTGAAGAAGGTTGAATTCGCTTCAACCTTTGGACAACTTGCCTCATAGTTGGCCTGGTTGAGAGGCTATCAACTGTACATGTGATGGCTAAGTGCAGCAATTCTACCAGTTCATCATGAGGAGCTGTATCCCATAACCTTGTAGTGAACACATCCTTTGCCTGACCCTGTCGAAGCAGCATGCAGGCCCAAGAGACAATATTAAAACCATCTGCTTGTGAGGAGAATGAAGGATCCAAAGCTTTCTTATCTGATATCAACTCAAGCAGCACAACACCATAGCTGTAAACATCAGCCTTCTCAGATACACGACAGGTCATTGCATACTCTGGTGCAACATATCCAAATGTGCCAGCTACACCGGTTGTTGCATGGGTTTCCGAGGTACCCAAAAGCCTTGATAATCCAAAGTCAGACAGATAAGCATTACAATCATTGTCCAACAATATGTTACTTGGCTTGACATCACGGTGCAGAACCTTTGGAGCACATTGGTCATGTAGATATGCAAGTGCATGGGCTATATCCAGAGCAATCTTGTGAATAATCTTCCAATCTACAGCCCTTGTGGACCTCTCCTTAATAAAATTTTCTAAATTACCACCTGACAAATAATTATATATGAGAAACATCTCTGTTGCACTGGCATGGTATCCTATTAAAGTTACAAGATTAGGGTGCCTCATCCTTTCAAGGATCTTTATCTCTGCATGGAACTGCTGAACACCTTGGAACCTTCCAACAGCAAGCCTCTTCACTGCCACTAGGGTTCCTGGAGCTATTTCAGCCTTGTAAGTGGCACCAAAACCTCCATTTCCAATGCATTTGCCGGCACTAAAATTCCCTGTTGCCTGGACAATACTTTCATATGTCAATGGAACCCCAATATCAATGAAAGCTGTAATTTCCCTTGATTCAGAAACCTGAACCCTGGATGTTGGGACCCATTTCCTCGTGTAAAAGAATAGGACAACTAGAACTAGAAGAACTGAAACAATGGCTGAGGCCGATGCTATCGATGCAATCTCAATGGAATCTAAACTTTTATTGACTGTGTTCTGTGAAGGAGAAACATCATTTGGTGAACCTTCAGTGTTGGTTGTCGTATCAGCAGGTCTCACAGATAGTGAGAATACACGGTGTGAGAGAAGGAATGGCTTTCGATGAACACTGGTAGGATTCACTGCACTACCATTGTTTCTCAGATTGATAAGTCCTTTTGGAATCTTACCAGATAGAGAATTTGATGAAAGTTCTAACACCTCAAGGGAACGAAAGCGTCCAAAGCTAGAAGGAACGGCACCAGTCAGGTTGTTTCTTGCCAAGGAGAGATGTTTGAGATGCTTCAACTGATGGAGCCCTTCAGGAATTGGACCTCTAAATTTGTTTCCACTTAGGTCAAGGAAAACAAGAGATTTCAATTCCCTGAGACTTTGGGGAATTACCCCTCCAATCTCATTCTCAGATACATCCAAAAATCTAAGGGATCTGCAGATTGCACCAATTCCTGATGGAATGTGACCGGACAGTCTGTTCTTGCTAACGTTAGCAATCATCCCATGTAGCTTATTACAGTTTCCAAATAAACTTCCAGGAAATGATCCAGTGATCTTGTTTCCACCAGCAAGAAATGTATAATCAGTCTGCTTACCCAATCTTGTTGGTGCAATTGGTAGCCATGGGAGTGAACCAGAGAAGTTGTTTCCACTGAAATTGTGAATCAACACAGCTTTTGAACCAGAAAATGGCAAATGCATTGCAAGGCGTGTTTTATATGTGAAGAATGACAGATACGCGGATGCTGGATCATGGGTTTGGGGAAGTTCAGAACTCAAGGAGAAAAAACCAGGGCATACACTGTAATTAAACCTGGGGATTGATCCTGACATGACATTTCCACTAATATCAAAAAGTGTCATACAAGGAACGGGAAGTTTCTCATCAAGCTCGCCAGTTAGCCTGTTTGAGCTCAAATCTAGATGCTGTAGTTTCTTGCATCCATTGAACGCTCCAACAATTTCTCCACTGAAGTGGTTCTGAGCTAAGTCCACCATTTCCAAGTTCTCACAAGTACTCCAGTTGCTTGGTAACTTCCCCCCAAGATTTGCCCTGGGCACCCAAAGTATTTTGAGCTTTGGAAGGGTTGTAATTTCCATTGGGATGGAGCCTTGAAAACGATTATACTCATAAGTAGTAGCAAGCGGCAATCCAAATGACAGCTCTTTACTTGAACTCTGCCTAGTCAGCACTGGATCAAAGAGATTAGAAAGGACAAGAGCCGACAAATGAATGCAATTTCCAAGCTCCTGGGGAATCAAACCGCTAAGGTTGTTTCTAGAAACATCAAGAATCTCAAGCTTATACAGCTGGCCGAGCTCATTAGGAATAATGCCATCGAACATGTTAGAAAACAACAAAAGAGTCCGTAACTGCCGACAATTCCCCAAACTACCAGGAATCCTCCCACCTAGGAAATTCCCAGACAGATCAAGATGTTCAAGATACCGACAATTACTTCCAAAATTATCAAGAATTGGCCCATTTAGCCGATTATTAGACAAATAAAGCCCCTTCAACTTATAGAAACTGCCAAAATAATCAGGTACAGAACCCTTCAGCATATTCCCAGCTAAACTCAAAACCTCCAAATTCACGCATTTTGACAAAGACCTTGAAATCTCCCCTTCAAGTTCATTAAACCCCAGATTCAAAACCCGCAGATTTCTCAACCCCACAAATTCATTAGGCAACTTCCCAGAAAATGAATTCCCTTCAAGATCAAGTTCTTCTAATTTCACTAAACCCCATAGCTCTAAAGGAATTTCACCACCAATATCATTAAAAGCAAGAGATAAAACTCTAAGCTCAGTAAGTTTCCCAATTAAGGGTGACAAGTTTCCAACTAGTTTCCCATTTGAACGTGCTCTTCTTCTCAATCCAAAACCATAAAATGGAAACTGAGACAGCTTTGAAGAACAAGAACAAGCTCTAGTTAAGTTACCTTTATAACCTTCTCCACAACCACCAGGGATGTTGATGGAGATGACTTGAGACCTTGAATTGCATGCAACTCCAAACCAGGAGCAGTGATTTGGGTTCTTTGTAGAGTTCCAGCTTGAAAGAATCCCTGAAGGATCAAAAACAGAGCTTTTGAACTCCAACAGAATCCTTTTCTCAGATACCAACTTCCCTGAAACTAAGGTGAAGACAACAAATAGTTGAAACGAAAGCAAGATCAAAGCTTTACAGAACAGATAGCATTTCATTTTTCCTAAAGAAAACAAGAACCACCCAACAAAAAAGATCTCTCCGTTCTTGAAAGAGTCCACCCAAAGGACCCAAAAACCTTTCTCTCTCTCTCTCTCTCTCTCTGTTTCCTATAGGGAGAAAAATATTTGATAATTTTTAGTAATAAATCAAAATTTTGTGGGCGAGAAGGAGAGTCTTTGGAGGAGAAAAACGCGTTTCTTTCTTGCTTCTTCCTTGATGGGGTTGTGGAAAGTCTGGGTCTTCAGCTTTGCACTGTTTCCTTTTTTAAAACTTTTTTGTTTCCCTATTTCAACTTCCTTTTTTTTTTTTTTTCCTGCATAGACAGACATAGTGAAGGGGGGCCCACGTGGACTAACGGGTGAGGGAAGGTGGGGTCCAACGGCCGGTCAATTAATACATCACAGCCGTCAACACACGGCGGCTCCTGGAAAGACCGGGCAGATTGTGGGTCCCACCATCCTTTTTGAAAAAATTAGTTTTTCGTCCCTTCTTCTTCTTTTGGGTCTACGTGGAATTTCTTTTACCTTCTCACTCACATAAATAAATAAAGAAAAATAAAACGGTGTCGTTTGCCCTGAGGAAAAAGTTACTGGAAAACTACAAACGAAACTACGCGGGGAATTTAAACGAAATGATGACGTCATCCTATTGCCAGCGTGACGCACGATTTTATTTTTTTTCTTTTTTTAAGGAAAAAATATTGAAGATAATATCTAAAAAAATTCTTTGAATTATTTATTCTTTTATTTCGTTTTTGTATTTTTATTTTATATTAAGTCTTTTTTTGTTGTATTTTAATATTTTTATTTTAAATTAAATAAAGTTAGATTTAAGATAATAATAATAATAATAATAATAATAATTAGATTATTCAAAATTTGGTGATGGAAAGTTTTTTGACTCTGTCTAAGTCCGCAGTCATTGGATTAACTTAATGTTACTTTTATTTATTGTTTAATAGATAGTGATCAAGAAATGAGTAGATTTTGTCAAATAAGATTCCTTAATCTCCCCATTTTTCTTCTGTAAAAACTGGATACTTTGTTTAAGTCTCCCAATAATTTATTTTGAAGGAATGATGTGCTGTGCAGCAAGTTTGGCTGTAACCATGTGAAGATGGAATGGCCAGACACAAACTAAAAGTCTTAGAATAAATGGGGGGAAAATTAAATATCTTGTCTGTTGATTAATACTTTAGGAAGTTTGGACCACAAACTCTTGACATGCAGGCGTAGTAGTCTGGTTAGACAATTAATGTGGTTCATCTTTTGATGGGGAAGTTAAAGAAAAGCCTTGGTGGTGGTTGACAGGTCACATTAACTCTCCTCCATTCCCAATTGGTTCATGTTAAAGAAAAAACATTTCCATCAAAATGTAGCAGAATCTCCATTTAATAATAAGCTTTGGTTATGTGAATGCACAAGAGAAAAGCTCAACCCCATAAGCAGCTTTCAGGGGTGACATGTTATTTCAGTGACATTTGGGGAGGGCAAAACTTATTTAAGTTATGCTTTGATCAGATCCCCTTTTTGTTTTTTGGGTGATTGGCATGTTATGACTTATGAATATGTGAAGGTTACTAAGAAGTAGACAATGACTGGCTAAGACACCATTTACTGCACAAGAAAGCTTCTGACCTCCACCATTACTTTAAAGATTGGAGAAACCAGTGCAAAAAATCTAATGAAACTCTAATGTATCACTTTATAAACTAGAAAGTAACATGAATGAAACGACCTAAAAGTTAATTTCCTCCCCATATCTTCAAAAACATGTGGGGGCGAGATGAGTTTCCCCTTCCCAGCCATTGCCTCCCTAGGCATTTTCCCTTTCTTCTCACTGACAAAGGACCCGACTCAGACATGAACATGTATATGAGAAGAGAAGATATGTGAACTTTAGACTCGATTGAAATATGTCAGTTCAATGGAAAAATGGAAGAGCAAGCCCTTTGATGAGAACCTTTGCATTTATGCAGAAGTCATGATGATGATTAAATAGCAAGAGATCTGTGCAAACATCCCAAAAACGGATAGATATAGACAGGCCTTTGTTGCAGGGAGAGGGCGGCTTGAGGCTTCAACAGCGGCTTCCTCGACAACAGTTACAAGAGTAACACCAACACCAGTGCCATCCGCATTGACAGGAAGGAAACCAAGTGCAACAGCTGCAGCAACCTGATTTTGAGGGTACTGCAGAGTCCAAGGTCTGTTGTTCTTGTTGTTGCTTCACGTTTTCTTTCACACCATCATTTCTTCCATCTGTCAAACTGCAATGATCCAAAATAAATTAAGTCGATGAGTTCCTGCAACACATCTTGAAATCATTTTACATTGTATGTGACAGCCCGAAAATATACATCATGAGCAAATAGAGGCACATTAAGTGCAATATACACCACTAAAATTTAAAAACAAAGTTTTTAATTCTCAAAGATCTGCTTATAACTAATGCTTGATACATGGTTACAATATCGGTAGGGAGAAAGAGAAGCATACACGGTAGAAAAGTGACAGCACCATCTTTTTATGCTACAGTTCCAACAGCAGCAGAACGCCCAGCTACAATTAGAACAGCAGCAGCTTGGCCACCTAAAGCAGCAGCTTGGCCACCTAAAGTACCAGCTTGGCCATGTACAGTAGCAGAACGCCCAGCTACAATTAGAACAGTAGCATGATGGCCATGCACACTTCTTCTGCTTCTTTTTCTTCTTCTTCTTCTTTCTTCTGCAACACAAAAGGTGTATATTCCTCATCGAGCATGCGTAAGGTTTGAAATTTCTATATGATTTTGCATACATGTATAACCTACGTGTATGCATGTGGAGTAACTGATTATATTAGGCTCACATGAACAACTATATATATAGACACCAAGGAGAGGCATCTCGTTTTGCACAGAGAAAAAGTTACATTGTGCACAAGCATAAATAACAAGTTAGCACATTCAGGCCAATAGTAGGATTATTTGTTGATAGAGAATGCCGTTAACTTACATTTGAAAAGCAAAGGAGTGTCCACTGGTTCCACTATCATCAGAATGGTTAGAAATGGTGGATGAATTCCAAGTGACCATGGGATGTGTTGGCTTTTCATGAATTGGTTCTTCAACTCTCAGGCCTGTTTTATCCTTGACAGCGTCATCTGATACTACAGTTGCTTTGCTCTTGTCCAATTGAACACTCTTTTTGTGAGCGTCCACCGCTAAAGCAACAGGGGATGGACTGAACGCAATAAACTCACCTGACTTGAAAAGTTCTCCAGATTTTAGGTTTAGAATATGGTCTCTGGAAAAACTATTGTTCCCTACTTGAATGCTAAATAGTGACTCATTAGAAGCAATACTCCAATCCAAAGGTGTTGTTGATTTACTTCTTGCAAAGACAGCAGAGGGAATCCTATAAGGATCATATTCTTCTTGTCGGTCCATCACTTGGATCGGAGGGGATTGTGTTGATGTTGATTCGTGGGTGACACTAGAAACTTGTTGAGATGTCGATTTGGGACCTGCAGTTCCATTTTGACATTCTTCTGATTTGGGAAAGTCGTTACCAGAAACATTACGTTTGCAGTTTGATGACGCTTCAGTATCCTCATCAAATTTAGGGAAGGAAGTTGAAGTGTTGCCTGGTCTGGACATTTTATCCAATTGAAACTGATCATCTGTTGATGAGCCAGACGAAGATGGGGATGAAGAGGATGGCAACCTCAGCTTTTCAGTTGAGAAAAGTATATCACCTTCATTCCCATCGCCTTCCTCTTGAATTAGTTCCGATCGTTTGCTACTTTCACTCCCATCAATTACCTCTGGGTGAATTTCAAAATTATTATTGTTTCCCCATCCCTTAATAATCTCTGGCTTAAGCTCAAAATGATTACTTTCATTTTCTCCGCTCCTGTTTATTACCTCTGGATATCGTTTACTGCTTCCACTACCCTCACTTGAATTCTTACTGCTTCCGGTTTCATGATCAAGCTCTAGATGTCTTCTTGAATGCCCACTGCTTCCACTGCCCTCACTTAAACGCTCACTGCTTCCACTACCCTCACTTGAATGATTACGTCTTTCAGTTTCATCATCAAGTTCTAGATGTCTTCTTGAATGCTCACTGCTTCCACTCTCCTCGCTTGAATGCTTACTGCTTCCACTCTCCTCACTTGAATGCTTACTGCTTCCACTTCCCTCACTCGAATGCCTACTGCTTCTGCTTCCAACGACAAGTTCCAGACGTCTCCCTGAATGCTTACTGCTTCCACTCCCATCACTTTCATCTATGTCTACTCTTGAATGCATACTGTTTCCATTCATATGATCAAAGTCCATAACTTAAAAGTAATTGTTGGACCCGGGATTCATGTGTGCGTTTACATCATCTCCCTATAGGTCTGCCTGGAAAATGAAAACAAAAGGAAAACTTCCCAAATTAGGTAGGTATATTCATGAGGAGTTAAAAAGGTTTAGTAAAAGTTCAAACACTGTCTAAGAAAATAAAAACCACCCTTTCAACACAGATAGCCATAGCCATACGTGAATGAATGTGTAATAGTATTAGATAACTAATAAGGTGAAAATCCAAAAGGAAAAACACACATACAGCCCAAGCAATGCAATTCATGATAGCTTACCTTCTCACTTCTACACCATTCTGCAAGATTAATTCAGCAAAAAATATGATTCCATTCTTCACATTAAAATCGTTAAAATCTTTCTTTCAGGAAGTGGGGGAAAAACATTAACTACACAAAAAACCTCAGACCATATATATGAGAAGGATAAGACATTAAGATAAAAACCTTCAACAAATTTTCCTAAAAGCTACATTAGTTAGAAAATGGAAACCCATTGGAATTTCACTGCATTTCTTCGTTAATTCGATCCGGGAACCAAAAAAAGGATAAATTTATCTCTGATTTTTCATAAAAGCTACCTTTTATTCCAACTAAAATTTCAATTCTCAGGTAAACCCAGCATCGTTATCATAAAGAAAAAGCTACGATTCTCAAATTTCTGAATCAATGCCTTCCTCTAGATTATATAATTCTTTCCATTTCCATTTCCGTAAAACAATTTCCATCATGTTTGATTCTTCAGAATTAAAACGAACAAAAAAAAAAGGAAAAACAATTAACAGCTGCATTGTTCAGAATTACACTAAACAGATTCATCCACTCAAAAAATGAAATGAAAACAAACTCACTACGGTAACAGCCGCAGAAATCGAGCTCGCCGGAAGAATCTCCGGCGATCCAAAGCTGCCTTCCTACGATGAAAATTAGTATCTGAAGTTCACATCACCTAATTAAAAAAAAAAAACAAAAACAAAACAGAAAACTTGGGACTAACGAAAAAACCAAGTCATGAATATTTGACCCCGGATTTTCAGCGGATATAGAGATAGAAAAATTACCAGAAATTAGAAACGGTTAATCGACAAAGAAAATATTCAAATATGCGAATAATGTTTGAAAAAAAAGAAATTAATTAAATTTTTTTAAAAAAAAGGGGAAAAGAAAGGAAGAAAGGGAAATTGGGGTGTTAGGATTTGGTGCGGATGGAGTAGCGACATTTTCTGAATTTCCGGTTCCATTTTTGTAACTAACTTTCACTATATCTGCGGTTTCGCGCCATCTTTTTAACTCCTCTCCGTTGCTTTGAAATGTCGAGGGGAATTGTCGTGCTTTTCATTTTTCTTCCACTTGCGTATCATGTCCTGCCACGTGGTTTGAATGGGTAATTGTTTGGGCCTTTTAGTCTTTTCCTTATGCACTGATCATTGACGTGGCGTGTTGTGATTGGTGTCTTATTAAAATTTTGAAAAGTTTAAGCTTTAAAATTATCAAAATTTATTTTTTTAAAATAATGATTAAAATTAAATTTATTTAATTAACAAAGTCATTAAGAGATTAATAAGTTGAACAAAACTAATATAAAAATGAGGCTTCCATATGTTAATAGATTGTTAGTGATTATAATTTTTCTTTATTTAAAACATCAAACATTTAAAAAAAAAAGAATTAAGGTCAAATTTATTACGATACTATGAATCAATGTTGGATTTTATCTCTATATTTTAATTTCAATAATTATTGTTATCGTACTTTTAATTTTGTTGATTTTTAAATAAAAAATAATGATTGAGAGAAGTTTATCATTTATATTAAAAAGATATTTTGTTAAATATTTTAATTTCATTATATATAGTCTAAAAATCAATAAAATTGAAGTATGATAGTAAAATTAAAATACAGTTGTAAAACTGTATTTTATTTTGAATCATTTGATATTTTGAATTATCGTGTTTTATATTTGGTATTTTATTTTGTAAAAAAAATGTATAAATTTTTAAGGTTTTAGCTTGAATTTGGATTTAATTTGTCTTAGTTCTTAAATTGAATTTTGAAATCTTTAGTTGGGATAGATTTAAGATTTGAAAATTAATATTTTTAATAATCTTGAGGCTATTCAAACAAAAATATAAATATAAAGATAATTCAATTAATTACAATATATACAAATTTCGAATATGAAAAGCTCTCTATTATAATACTTAGATCTTTTTATTTTCTTATGCTTTTCTCCAAATTCAATTTTTTTCACTATAATTCTTTGTTGTGATTAAATAATAAAACTTGTAGTAAAAATATTTATAGATGATATGTTTCTCTCTTGTTTACATATTTTCTTATTGACATAATATTTAAAAATACTCTTGAACTATTTAGATTAATTCAAATAATTTTTTATTTTTTATTACATTTAATTAAAAAATTATATTTATTTAAATTAAATAAATAATAAATAATTATTATTAATTAAAATATTACTTGTTATTTTATGTCATATGTTATCATTATAGGAATGTTAAATAATAAATAATATTTTAATTAATAACATATAATTCACTGTTAATCATAAAAAGTCTATTTAATTTAAAATAAAAATATATAATTTGATTGAATATAATAAAAAAATAAAAATTTATTTAAAATTTGTTCTATCATTGTATGTTTTCTATTTTTATTGAATTAAAGAAAATAATAATATGAATCATAAAGAGATAAAAGCCTACCATTTTGAATTTTAAATTTTAATACAATTTATTTCTCATCACAACACTTCTTATTTTTTGATTTTTGAGAATAACATTTGAATCTCTTTTTATCAAGAAAAAAAATAAATAGCTTAAAAAATGTGCCCTTATTTTTTCTTTTATTTCGATGCAAGGCCAAGGCCACCTACTATTTGTTGAATTACACATTAATGGCTCTAAATGATCAAAAATATCTCGTACATCTTCCAAAACGCAGGGAGAGAGAGAGAAAAAAAACAGAGAAAAAACGTTAAAAAATGAATGTTTAAGATGTTTCATTACGAATCTCGACGGCCAACGAGGAAGGAAACGCGTCGAGAAGTTAGTTAATGGATGGCGCTTCTCAGTTTGCGTCGACTGTGTCACTGTCTCTCTTCACTTCCATTAAATGAAACAACGTAATCCCAGGTTCCTTCCACGGCTTTGCTGATTTTTCTTGAAGTTTATTTTTAAGTGGTATATTCATTGCTCTTCCATCTTTTTTTAATCTGGGTTTCTTTTATTTTCTATTTCTTGTTGATATAATTTGCTTGCATTCACATTTAATCTTCTAAACAGAATTGGGTTGTTTTTGTCATTTGGGTTTTTAGATAAATGGCTATTTTTAGTATTTAGTTGCTATTTGAGGGCTTTTGAGTGTCGGGGTTGTGTTTTCAGTAGGGGACTATATCTGTTTGAGTGAATTTCATACTGGGATTTAATCGTTGAATCAAATTTTAGATTTCTCAAATTCTTGGTGTATAGTTTACGTATTGGTCTTCAACTCACTAAATATCGGCAATTGCTGGTTTTTGTCCCTTGTTGAATAATGAAACATGAGATTCAAGGTGGATTCCTCTTCTCTTTTCTGCTTGTAAATTTTGAGCTACCAAAATGAGCAGAGTTTTTGTTTTGTTAGGTTGAGTTATTATTTGAGGCTGCCTAGTCAGTAATTTTGTGCTTTCTCCACTGAAAACGGTATTCTTTTAAAGTGATTCCTTGCCTGCTTTCTTATATACCTACCAAAAGTTTTCAGGAATCTCGCTTCATGCATGACAAGGTAACATGGATAAAAGAAGTATCAAGAACTGAGTTCCAATGCATCTGATTACCAGCTCAAATGAGTGAGGCTGCTGCTGTTGCAATGTGCACTGATAGGTCACCTTTTTGCGAAATTGTTGCCTGGAATCAAAGAAGGAAAGACTAAAATTCAATGGAAGAATCACAGGGCCATTTTCTTCCCTCTGATGCTCCTGAATCTACCTCTTCCTATAACAGTGAAAGGCTTAATTCGGGTGCACATGCAAATCATGGTTCTGGGGTTCCGGGGGTGAAGAAGAGAGGTCACAACAGTCGTTCATGGATAAAGATTGATCAAGATGGCAATGTGAAGATTTTGGAGCTTGATAAGGCTAGAATAATGAGACATTGTTCTTTGCCATCCAGGGACCTCAGGCTTTTGGACCCTTTGTTTATTTATCCTTCAACGATACTAGGAAGGGAGAAGGCTATTGTGGTTAGTCTTGAGCAAATAAGATGTATAATCACAGCCGAGGAGGTTATCTTGATGAATTCTTTGGAGAAAAATGTTGTTCAATACGAGTCAGAATTATGCAAGCGTCTTCAGACAAACAAAGACCAAGCTGGTAAAATGCATACTTGCATGTTATTGATAGCCTGTAGCTTAATTTGGTCACAAATGGATGACCAGAGGAGTTCTAACTAACAGTTTTTACTGCAACTTGCTGTTGAAATCATTATTGATCCATACAAAAATGACTGTTATATTGTCCTGCCCTCAATATCTATTAACATGTTAGCCTGTATGGAGAAGCATATGGAGAAAAACTGTAATGCCACTGAATTTGACTGCTGTGCTGTTCCTCAAAAGCAGAGCATCTTCCCCAGTTAAGGAAGATGAAAAATTACCATTTGGGTTCAACTGATGCTTCTAAAATCTTTGTTAGCCCCAAAGAGTTTTATGGCAGTTCTTGTTTGTGTCACTTGTCTTAACTTATTGTTAGTTTGGAACCCTTATGGTTTATAAAATTGTCACATAAGTTGCTTACATTATTTTACTGGTTTGATTCAGATGACCTGCCATTTGAATTTAGGGCTCTGGAACTGGCATTGGAACTAACCTGCATGTCCCTGGATACACAGGTATGCCACAACCTCTATCATTACGTAATTGTTGGAACTGCTTGAGTTCCATTTCAAATACGTAATCAATTGAACTTCTTTTACTCAACAGTCAACATTGAGGGGATAACCTAGAGGCACAACCTGTATAATGTTTAGGCTCCTTATATTAATAATATTCAGTGGAAATATTAATACTTTGAGGTGGCAATGGCACACTGTCATCAATGCTCAGGTTAGAGATATTCTGTTCATGTTAATATGGATAGATGCTCTGCAACACAGTTGGAAGGTTCATCCAACTTGCCCAGCCTCCTTGCCAGAAGACTCTGCTAAGCGATTCATTACATTTCATTTTTGTTAAGGATTATGAATCAGAGACTCTCTCTAGTTCCTTTCTTCTCCCTTTCCTCTTTTCTCCCTCTTTCTCTCCTTTCTTTCTCTATAGAGTGAGAGAGAATTTTGTGTTATTTGACTATATATGAATCAAGTCTTGTCCAGCTTAGAAGTCTGAATGGTGTAGGGTTTATGTCAGTCTCAATTCTGGTCAATTTGTATTACTGGCTCTGACACTTCAATCAAATCATAGGATATAGGCAAAATATCTTCCTAATGGAAAATGAGTTGAAAGTGGCTACAGATTTTCTTTTTTTGGCCAAAGAAAAAGAAGTTGCTACAGAATTGAGTTGTAGTCATGGCTTCTCCTCTTTTGTTAAGTATGGTAGGGGTTGAGGTTGCAGGTTTTCTATCCTGCTCCTGTTTGTAGGTTTAAATTTCTGTCAAAAAGCCTGATAAACAAGCAGGCCTATCACACATTTGGTTGCTAGAGGCTTTCCTAGCATGTGCAAAGACATAGCTAGATAAACTCTGTTGATTCCTTTAATGGCATAAAATTCTGTTTTTCTATTTTCTATTGCATATAAACCTTTCTATTCATATGCTACTCAATAAACTTATGTTGAAAGTTCCGCCATTTGCACAATTGGAGTGGATTTGCCGCCCGTTGACATCATGTTGATTCAATACTGGTAGTGTCCATCTATTATCTATTTTCTCTTACATACTTGTCTCAATAAAGTTTTAATTGGCTACTTTTGTCACAGACTGTTAAATCTTTTCTGGTCAACAACTCTGCTAAGATTTATGTACTGTTTTTCAATGATTAGTGGGTCCTTTTTAACTGAAGCAACAACATTATTACTATTATTGGGATTGATAGGTAGGATGGGCTTTCCTCCCAAAGTCTAATATTTGTATTTGGCATGCATAGTTATCTCATGAAGCCAAATGGATTGGTCTGATGAATGTAGGTTCTAGAAGTGGTAAGGCCATTAGCCTGGTTAAAACCAAAGTAAAATATTGGAGATTTAGTGTTCATGTTGGTACAGATATTAAGCTGAAACTCCCTCTCATTTCAGAAAATTTCCTTTTTATAGGTGAAAGAACTGGAAATTGAGATATATCCAGTGCTAGACGAACTAGCATCGTCGATTAATACTGTTAACCTGGAACGTGTTCGTAGATTAAAAGGCAATCTCCTCGCATTAACCCAGCGAGTTCAGAAGGTGCGGACACTTATATACAGTACCTTTTGGAATTTGTACCTGCTGTAGCTTTGCTTCTTATATAATTGATTTTAGATTGAAATTGTTAGGTCCGAGATGAGTTAGAGCATCTCATGGATGATGATGGTGACATGGCGGAGATGTACCTCACCGAGAAAAAGCTAAAGTCAGAGGGTAACACCCCAAGTGAACTAAATGCCATAACCAATTTTTCTGGTGGGACCAAAGTAGTTTCAAAATCTGCTCCTGTTTCACCAGTAGCTTCAACTAATGGATCCCACAGATTGCAAAGGGCATTTAGCAGTATTGTGAGTTCAAGTAAACATGGAAGCTTAATCAGTTCATCAAATGGTGGGGAAAATATTGAACAACTTGAAATGTTACTTGAAGCATACTTTGTTGTTATTGATCATACTCTCAGCAAATTGTTCTCGGTACGAGACCTTTGACTTCCTACCATAGATATTTTAGAATCTTTTTATAATGGTTTATAAATATAGTGGAAAATTATTAAGAAGCTTTGGTTATGTAATTCTTGGCTTGGGATGTATATACCCTACATCCTACGGATCTACAAGTAATCAGCTGACGTAGAAGACTGATCTGTTTCTGCCACCCCTAAAGGACTGTTTGGTACAACGGGGCAGTGCAGTGGGATGGGCTCTTCACCACACTGCCCCCTAATTTTCCACTGGAACCATCTCCAAGTTTAACCTATAGATAGTGCATTCACTTTAAGCAAAGCAACTAGTAGCTTTTTCTTCCAATACTGTAGGAACCTAAAATTAAAATATACTCTTCTGAAGATCGTTGAGACTTGAGAATAGTATCACTCTCATGTAATCCACTGACACTGTATCTTATTGGTGATGCAGCTCAAAGAGTACATTGATGATACTGAAGATCTGATCAACATTAAATTGGTGAGGATTGATTGACTGATTTAATGATGCCTTCTCTTTAACTTGCAATTTCAAGTGGGAGATGGGGAAGAAGTCAATGGGAACCAGGAAAGTCATTAAGTACTAATTAAAGATTATTTTCTTCCTCTTTACTTAAACAGGGCAATGTTCAAAACCATCTGATACAATTTGAGTTACTTCTCACTGCGGCAACTTTTGTGGCTACGTTATTTGCTGCTGTAGCGGGAGTCTTTGGAATGAACTTTGCAGCTTCAGTTTTTGATTACCCATCTGGATTTAGTTGGGTTCTGCTTATAACAGGTGCTGGATGTGTGTTATTGTACTTTTCTTTCTTGTTATATTTCAGGTACAAGAAAGTATTCCCATTGTAAATTGTTGAGCTTAAACTGTTCGATTAAAGATGAAATTATTATTAGTCTATCGGCATCCTTAGCATATATTTATGTATTACATTTGCAGTGCTCCTTGAGAACATTTTTACCAATTATCTTTCACCCTTTAAAATCCGAGACACTTGTTTAGGAACTTTAAAGTGAGAAGGCGATCTCGCTATCTGATGCTACAAACATGACTTACAGCATCTCTGGTGGGGGGAATGGTTTTTTCTGTTTCTCCTTATTCGTAGTGAACAGTAAAACCATATTTTGGTTGGTTGAATAGCTATTTTGTGGACCTATTTCTCTTATATTCTATTCTACAGAATGACTATTTCATTTCCTTTCTATTCTATTCCATAAACCAAATACACTGTTAGAACCTAGACTTAGTTGGACTTCCGAGTATCCTGTCTCCCCCTTTCATCTAATCTCTCAGACTTACATTATGGCTTATAGATGGATCTACCACAAACTAGAGCCACAAAAGGAAAAAGTGTGGTTCTAACTTCAATAGATGAGCTTGCAGTTGAATCAATTGTACATTCAACGGCATAATCAATGGTTATGAAAGCAGCCAGACAATCCCATTTTAGAACTTAGAGAACAGAATGTTTCATCTCCTTATCTATTTCGAGCTTGATTTACTAGATTGGAAATGTACAGGCTACAGCATGAAAGACTTCCATTACAGAAATTGTTAATAACATAAATCTTTCTTTAATTTAAAATCACGAGGCAAGGGTCATACTTGGGCAGCTATCTACCGTGCATGCCAAGATGTCCCTGTAATTCCTGGATATTGTGAAAGAATCATAAACTTTTCCATCACTGCTCTTCTTATACTCGAACAACAGGTTTGAATGGTCGAATGCTGTGAGTTTTACGAATCCATAATCAAGGTCTTTGAAGAAACTCCATTTGGTGTTTAGGGTGGTGAATTCTGCAAGGCCTGCTCCTCCACCACCAGCAACCACATGAATTGTCCCGTTCAAGGTGCCTCTGTAATTGTTTTTCTCCTTGTCGGTGCATATATTCTGCAGCAGTTGTCAGTTCAAAGGGTGAGTAATCCAAGAGCAGATAATCGAATCAGGTTACACATTTTTGCATGCTAAAGGTTGGAAATACATTATCAAGACCATATATTTTTGGGGTTAGTAATGCTCCAGAAGAACATGATAAAGACAACTGCATCCGCTGCTGTAAAAGCAATTAGTAGGCTGATTACATGCTCCCATTGTTACTGACCAAGTAATTATCTCGGCTAGACCAACAGTTGTTTCAGTGTAGATGCATGTCCTGATAGACTTTGCATGAATCTTAGTAGCAACTAGCATCAAAAGCCAGTTAAAGTTTGATGGGCGCTGTTAGTGCAGTTGCATCAGCTTGATGGTGTCTTGCTGAAAGCAAGATGTGTTTGACAAGTAACAAGAAGTAGAAGGACAGAGCCTCACATACATTGATCAATGACTTCATCAGGAATTAGTAATGAACAGTGTATCAAAAGAGGTGAACAACGTCTTGGGGATTGAAGAAGCTGCCTAAATGTTATGTTTCCTTCAAATAAGATGATTCTGGAAACAAAGATAAAGATGCATGCATAACAGTTTCATCACTGTATGAAGATCTTGACTTACCTGGTAAATTGGACATGTCCTTTCATAGTGGTGTGCATGGCCGTAGAAGGCAATGTCAACTTTGTACTTCTGCCAAAGTTTTTGAAGACTCTCCCTTCCCATGGGTTCCCCAAAAGATCCCGTATCAGCATAAAAGGTAGCAGAAGAGTAACCCAATACCCTGTGTGCAAGGAAGATCAGCCACGGTTGCTTCTGTCTATCAACAGATGCAAGGCAGTGCTCGATGAATTGGTATTGCTCTGTCCCCTCCCTCCAATCATGCTCTGTGTCAGCTACACAGAACCGGAACATGCCATAATCAGTGGAATACCTGATAGAATCAAACAGTAATTTTTGAGATCAATTCCCCAGCATATCTTCAAACTTAACACAAAACAGAATTATTAAGAAGCTTCTCTTTTGATTCTTCAGGAAGGATCCTATACAGAACCATTGGTGGCTGGTTCTCTGAGGTCATAAGCTAGAATGCCCGATGTATCTAAACAGAAATGTTTTTAAGGAGGGAATTAGAACTTTCTTCTGCTCTGCATTTATAGGATAGACTCTAGGCAATACCACAAATTGCAGTAAAGATATTATATCTGAACTCTATTTTAGTTGAATAAAGATTACTTATTAAGGGAAGACATTTTCACTGGCTATTTGTTTCATATACTTGTAATAATTCACAAAGGTCAGAGTTGTGAATATCAGAAAATATAAGCTCATAATTGCTGAAGAAAGAGGACAACTAAACATATATGATATTGTTGTCAAAATTCTTGTACCAGAACTTTGCCCTGTTCTCAGCAGGGACGTAAAACATTGTCTCTGCCAAAACGCCACATTCTCCCCCAGAATCCTTGTTCCCATAGAAGGATCCTGATCCCGGCCAGTCACGCTCATGGTTACCACTGAGTAAACAAACCAGCAATTTTCATATAAGATGAAACAGAATATATACATGCTCAAAACAAGCAGCCAGGCGAGTTATGGCAGACCTTGCAATCATGTAAGGAACAGTTGATGCAATCGGCTCAACCTGTGCAGTAAACTGGTCCCACTGTGAAAGGTATCCATTTGCATAACATATGTCTCCAATGTGGAAGACTATATCAATGTTATTTAAGTCTCTAATAAGCTGCTTTGTTGTGTTAAGAGCACCATGCTGGAAATCATTGTACTCATTGGAACCATCAGCTTCATCCTGCAGTATATCATGGTAATTGTTTATTGGTGAGTAGTATTCCTCTTTTTCTTCGTTTATAATATTGCAATGTTATGCCATTGACTAGAATCTTAGTATAGGCTAAGTCTATTAGGAAGAAAAAAAAAATGAAAACATAGAATCTAAAGCTTACATAGGCTTGCATATCAATATCCAAGGACAAAAAACTATCAGAGCAAGAACATGCATAATGAATGTTATTGAAGTCATAGGTTCATGTAATTGACAAAAACAGTTTTCTTTACATGCTCTTAGAGTTTCCAAGAAAAGTTCAAACCTTTCCCATGTCTCCAAAAATGATGACACGTTGCAAAGAATTTTGACCAGGATAAGGAGGTGCTCTAAAGCTGTATTGTTGACTCCAAACATAAGTACCATTGGACAGAACATGTCCAAGCCTGTAGGTGTACCTGCAAGTTCAATAATCTAGTTCAGCAACATGTAGAACACAAGCTGATTATGCATCTCTTGACTCTTTTCTAAACTGATCCAGGTTACTCTAGAAATCATTAAGTAAATATAACTAAACATATCAGGCGTAATCATTTGAAGAGAACCATGTTTTATATACAAGAATCATCAGACTTTTCAATAGGGCACAGTAATGACAAGGTTCACAGTCTTAGCAGCCTACGATCGACCTCACCCTCCCAAAAGCCTCTGTTTCCCCTACCATCCTCATATCTTCATGCTTCTTCCAGCAATGCAGCTTGTAGAAATTCCATATTGTCAAGTAAACTTATCTACAAGAAACGGGTAATACATGCATAATTTTTCCCTTTTCACTGGATGATGACCAAAAAGCTGGTATATCAATGGAAGTTATTGCATTTAAAATGCAGGCATCTAATATTTCATACTATATGCAGGTTCTGGTAAATAATTCTTGCAAGTGTGCCATATTTTTCATGCATATTTGCACCAATTATCCTTTTAAGTTATGTTTTTTTAAGAAAATAGTGACATTGATTTGTTAGCCAAGTTTAAATAGCCAAGCTTATAATGGATTTAGCAAGAACACCAAAAGAAAAAGAGGAAAGACAAAGCAGAACTATTGAGATTATTGGATAAAATGTTTTTGCCCAAAAAATATATGTGAAATGGGATTCAAGCAGAATCTCAAAAGATTGCAGGTTATCATGCATACATATATATATACAAAAATCCTCCTCCAACAACAAAGCATTACCAAGATTTTTGAACTTTATTGTAGCACAGCCAGGATCTTATATTATAAGCCAGAAGTAAATGTAACATACAGTGTGTTGGGCCACAACTCCTTCAGAAAACTGGTGTGTATAAACCCAGGATCTCGCCATCCTACTGTCCTTGCTGGCTCTCCTGAACACATTAATACATGATAACACCAATCATAAGCCTTTGACTTGAGAAACAACTAAGGCAAGGTTTTTGGGGATTTTCAGCAAATAAGAAAATAGATTAGCACAACTGAGCTTATTGTATAAGAATTTCATCAAGAAGCCTTATCAACTAAACGGATACACAGAAGAAACAGATAAGCAATCATTTGTGACATTCCCGAATTCTAGAGTATAAAGAACGATCAATTTACTAGCCCTCCTTGCTAGAACTTGGTAAACATAGATTTAATACTAACATTAAAATCAATTAAAAATGGATCCAAGCTCTTGAATTCATCCTTTTCTTCCTCTTCCTTCTTAGTATTGGAATGTTTTATGTGTTATCGTTTCACATCACAATTCTTTTAACCAACTTGATATCTACTTGTAAATGCTGCAGGGGAATCTATTTCCAAGATAACACATAACATTCATTTTAAGAACACATTAAAGCAGAGTTCAGGGATAATTGAGTTACACACCACACATGCTGTTACTATCAAAAGTAAGTGTTCCAGCTGGTGAATGTATTGGCAGTCCTCCTTTCCTACCCCATTCAACAAAAGGTACAGCTTCACTGATCCCATATCCACTGGTCCAGGTAACAGTCATCTGAGTATCAACTTTCAATTGTATTAAAATTGTAATATGCAAGACAGCATCATAAAGCTTTATAATATCTAATGAATTGCTCATAATATCTTGTCAATAGAAGAAAGAAGGGTGCAATGCAATGAAATAAAAAAATTTTATGTTGGTATCTGATAAACTCAGCAAAAGAGCCTTCATGTTCTTTTATGTTTCACTTACGAAATTGGGATGAAAGTCATGGAGAAATTGGACTTACTTCATTCCATACTTTTCCTTGAGCTAATCGTGGGTAAACTGGTGCATTTGGATTTGAGAAAGCAACTTTAGCTGACACTGCCACGACCTTTGGCTGTTATAATCAAGAAAAATGGAGATATGTAAACAAACCGCTGATAGGATGATCAAGATTAGAATCCAACCAGCAGTCCTAGTTCTCATGTAGAATTGATGAGAAAAAGGATATACTGCAATAAGGAAAGATGATGACATAGAATAGTTAGATTGATCAAAATGAAGTTTTTTCCAGGTATACTTATGATCAGGCAGCATATGTATATATACATTAGCTGCTACTTGTGAAACATGGGAATAATCACAACAATTACATTTAGCTCCACAACCTATTGAACACTAGCAGTCAACTCTACGTTATCATCAAATCCCTACAATTTGGTCTGCGTGATAATGAGACAAATTGTTCTCCAAATGAATATGCATGTTATATAGAAAAGACAATTACAAGCATACATTTAACAAACCCCCTGAAAATAGCACCAAAGAGAAGTCAGATCTCTGGTTAATCAACTGAAGCTTCAATGATCCTTTTCCGGTATCTTTGTACTTGGGAGTACTGTAGTTTGCATACTGATACTGCAAGAGGAGTTCGATTACACATCATTTAGATCTTTCACCAGTTCACAAAGAGCAGGTATTTCAGCAAAGTAAAAAAGCAAAATCCTGGGCAAGCAGTGGTGGACGAACCTTAATAGGTGCTGAACACAACAGTGGAGGAGATACCCACGGATTATCTGCAGGAGCAGGGCAGGAAGAAGCGCTGGAAAATTTTGGAACAGATTAGTTTCTAGGAGTGATCATCGCATGTACTCACATAGAAGCATGATTCAAAAGGTTCTGAAAGTTGATTATGATGAGATCCCACATCCCAGCAACCTGGAAATGTGAGAGAAAGTTACAAGTTTTACCTGAAATTGGAAGGAGAAAACACCCCAATCCAATCATCAACAGATGGATTAGGAGAACTAAACTCCACTGTCACCCAATCTGCATTTTGCCCCTGCAACACTAACGAATGTTTATAAACAGTTTCATAACAACACAAAATCCTTCATGCCTATTGGGTGTTCATTCTTTTTCTTAATCGATGAGATGTATCATCAAATACCAACAGAACTAATCTTTTCCTTGCAAAAAAATGTGATAGCTTGGCAACTACAAAAGCTTACCTTCAACCCAAGAACTGTAGGAGAGACTTTTATGTAAGCTTGATGATTGAGAGAAAAAGTTGCCTTTTGAACAGCAATCTTCGAAAGAGGCTGATCTCCGTGTGAAGCTGCCTCTTCAAGTGTTGCAAAAATTAATAGAATTGGCAAGAATATCAATCTCAATTCCCTCATCCCACCGAATATCTGAAACCAATCACCAAAGGGTCGTTATCTAATGAAAATCTTTGAAAACAAAAAGCAAAAAAGACGAAAAAAACTCTACCCTTAATGAAAATATAATTGACCAGAAAATCAACCAACTCTACCATTAATGGAAAACGAGCTCAAAAGGCAGTTTCAAAAGAAAACATCAGAAAAACCAGCAGGGCTTTGCTGTTTTCAAAAGAAACTTATCCACCATGACGAACCAGATCCTTTAGGAGGCACAACATAAACAGACCCAACAGCAAATGAATTAAATAATAAGTCATGGGCTGGTCTTGCATTATTATGCTAAACTAAAATCTGAAACAAAGATAAACCAGGTTCCTACATCTAGAAGTTTGATTAAAATAAGTAATTGGGTACCTTCAAGGCGCGCTTAAAGTGCAAGAGAAGACAAGAAAAGGCAGAAAAGAAGCAAAGATTGGACAAAGAAGAGGATAAGATGGATTGGTACAGAAGCAGAAATCAAAGAAGGGTTAAAAGAATATGGACTTCGGGAGATTTCTGAGTAAAAAGAGGAAGCAAGTGGAAGGGTAAATGATGTTTGAACATGGCAGGGGTAGCACACACTTTTTAGAAAGAAACATCGACTCTGTCCCCGGCAAGATTCGAATTTTAAAGATTACATTACTCAAGTCAAACAGTCTAACGTTTAACGTTAAACGCGATGTGGCAGGCAGGGCACGTGGGATGAGTATTAATGGGCTCTGGCGATTCTGTTTTGTTGCCACAAACGGGTCTTTTCAAAGCCGTTTACCTGACAGGACCGTTGCCCAAGTTGGAAGTTCAATCCTGAAAGGGAAGGGACAGGAACTCCAAACTGTCATTAGCATGGAAAGATTCATTGCGGTGTTTTTGTGTTTGTAGAATCCTGAAACTAGATTCATGTCAGTTTCATTGCAAGATTTTTGAGCCAATGTAATCCTTCCTCTTCTCTCTTTCCTTCTTCGCCAGCACCAACAGTAGAAATCATTCATTTTCACAATCAGGAATTAATGCTACGAGTGAAGAAGAGCTGAAACAGAGCATGGCTGGCCGTAGAAGACAAAAAAGGGTTTTCCAGAAGTGAACTTATGGATTTAATGTAACAAGACATCACCTGTAAGAGGAACTGTATGTATCCCAAAATGATTAGAAAAAAAAGATGGAAAAAAAAACAAGAGCTCGATTTGTTTCCACTTCATTACAAGATTTAGTGGCACCCAATGCTGCAAAATATGCACTTGATCCTGTCTGTTTGTAGTTTTGGGGTCACATTTGCATGTGTTATTTCCATAGACCAAGCTAGTTACCAAACCACATGTTACAAACTAAAATATTATTAAGCATGAAGTATTTGTCGACAAAGATTTTCCCTTCAAACAATCGGCATGCTAACATTGTACTCAGGCAACTATCCTCAGTGCAAGCCAAGATGCCTCGGTAATAATCCATGGATATTCTGAAGTTGTAAACTTTGCCATCACTGCTCTTCTCTTCTTGTATTGATTCAACTAACAGTTTTGACAATAGATTAACAATAGATTTTTTTTCCCTTCCTCACATAATCAGGATGCGAGTGTTGTGCTAGGGCAACTATCCACAGTGCAGGCCAAGATGTCTCTATAATCCCGGGATATTCTAAAAGTGTCGTAAACCTTTCCATCACTGCTCTTCTTGTATTCAAATAACAGGTTAGAATGGTCAAATGCAGTAAGTTTTACAAATCCATAATCATAGTCTCTGTATAAACTCCAATTGGTCTTGAGGGTGGTGAATGTTGAAAGGCTTGCTCCTCCGCCTCCTGCTACAACATGTATCGTGCCCTTCGGTGTGCCTTTATAGTAATGCTTCTCATAATCAGTGCATCTATTCTGTACCAAGGACGATTTCACAATTCAACTGTTAGCTAAAAATGGTTCACCGGTTGCTAATGTAGTGATTTGGGGAGGAAAATTATGGTTGCATCTTTCCCCCAAGTCAGTTTAAAATCAACCTTATTAGCACAAAGACAAAAGCCAGCAAAGAAAGCTTCAATACTGAAAGTTTTAGGAGTACCTCGTATATGGGACATGTTCTTTCATAATTATGCACATGGCCATAGATGCTGATGTCAACCTTATACTTCTGCCAGAGTTTTTGAAGGCTCTCCCTTGCCATTGGTTCTGCAAATGATCCTTCTATGGCGTAACCAATGCCAGAAGAATAGCCAAGTACCCGATGTGCAAGAAAGATCAGCCATGGTTGCTTTTGTCTATCAACTGATGCCAGACAGTGCTCAATGAACTTGTACTGCTCTGTCCCCTCTCTCCAATCATGTTCTGTATCAGCTATGCAGAACCGGAACATGCCATAGTCAGTGGAGTACCTAGCAACAAGAAATTCAATGCAAGCAAGTTAGAGTAGAAAATGTAGAACAAGATAATGGTTTTGCAGGACTTATCATGCAGGGACTGTGGTTCCATGTAGTCAAAGTAAAGCAGAATAGTCAGTAATAGCAACAAATATAAGATTAACAATTTAAATAATTGGTAGGCTGGGAATAATTCCATGAAGGAATTTATCGAAATTGTAAGTGACAGAAACTATGCCATTAAGATTAAAATATGGTTTGATTCGGTTTAAGTTATACATAGATTATCCTTTATGAGTCCTCAACAATTTGGAGAAAACAACAGAATGCACCTAATTTTAAAGTTGGAAGTGACAAGCTGCAAATGGTGATATTAGTGTCAAGCTGTTTATTCAAAGCTGTCAATATAAGAAAGACTCATACCAAAACTTAGCCCTGTTCTCAGCAGGGACAAAAAACATTGTCTCAGCCAAGACACCACATTCTCCTCCAGAATCCATGTTCTCGTAAAAGGATCCTGTTCCCGGCCAGTCACGCTCATGGTTACCACTAAGAAACAAAAAACCAACACCAAGTGCCAGATAAGGTAAGAATCAGAGGAGAAATATAAACTCAAGCAGGGGATGCTAGTAAATTATAGAGAACCTTGCAAGCATATAAGGCACAGCGGATGCAATTGGCTCAATCTGTGCAGTAAATTGGTCCCACTGTGAAAGGTATCCATTAGCGTAACATATATCTCCAATGTGGAACACAATATCAATGTTGTTCAAATCTTTAATTAACTGGTTAGTAGTGTTTAGAGAGCCACGTTGGAAATTGTTGTATTCATTGGAGCCATCAGCTTCATCCTGCAGGTGAAAGATCTAACTTCAAGATACTGCAGGTCGGGATGTAATTGAACGACAGGACCACTTCTAATATAGAGTAATGGCAAAGCATGGGAATCAAATTTGTGAAGCAAAAAGGAAAGAATGCACTTTCTGGTAATTTACGCATACTTAAACAATGACTTTACCAAGTACTAGAGTAAAGAATGCTGTGATATAATTGCTCATGAATCAGGAATGTATGCCTAGAGGTGAGAATAGATGGTAGAGTGAAAACATCATGACAATTCATGTGTAACTGTCCAGATAGAAGATGCAAGACAGATTGAGTGATGACAGGAACGAAGTGTTGCAGTCAAATGCTAGCAGAGCTTACAGTAAGACTGAGGGAAATTTAGTGTCATGCTTTATACGTATATAGAAGTTGGAAATCAAATTCAAACCTTTCCCATATCTCCGAAAATGACTACATGTTGCAAAGAATTTTGACCAGGAAATGGAGATGCTTTAAACTGGTATTCTCGACTCCAAATATATGTATTGTTGAACAATCTATGCCCCAGTTTGTAGGTATACCTACATGGTAAATGGAAAATTATTTTAAATATGAGTTGCATAGAAACTTAGAAAGCTGAGAAAAAAGATTGTTATAGAGGAGCTCAGCCCAGTAAATTATGATTTCTATCTAAATTTAAGTCATCTCAAGAATCTGACAAGTCAAATCTAATAATTTTACTAGGAAATGTTACTGGATTGCTCCCATATAAATTTATTAACCACATAAAGGGAGGAAAACAAAAAGAATTTGTAGTTATGCTCGTATTAATATTATTTGCCAGGTTTTTCATGTGTAAAATATGAATCTGTAGTTGTGGTCATATACAAAGGATACTCAGTCTAAAGAAAGTTGATGAGCAATTCTGGACTTAATCAGAATTCAGTAAAGAACATACACTCTGTTTGGCCACAACTCTTTTAAAAAGCTGGTATGAATATATCCAGGATCTCGCCATCCGACTGTCCTTGCTGGTGCACCTGCATATATAGTAAGATGGTGCATCAACATAAGTAAAGGAAAAATAAAAAAAAACAATAACTGTAAGGACAGAATCTAAATCTCCAACCAAATTCCACTCCTAAAGCCGCTTGAGATAACCCCAGATGGCATGATTAACACCATATTGGAGAACAACCAATTGTCTATATTGATAGAATTTAAAGAGAGTTAACCATCTCAGCAATTTCACTAGCAGTATAGTAACCTATTTACTACATTATGTTATTACAAAGATATATTGTCCAGTACCCTGTTTGGAAGGTTGTGTAGGGTTCTATTACAAAGATATATCCATCCTAAAGTTGCAAATTCTTAGAAATTTTGAGATAAATCTCATGGAAGTAAAATTTAAATCCAATGAGCTACGCACCACACATGCTGTTACGTTCAAAAGTCAGAGTAACAGCTGGGGAATGTTGTCGATGTTCTCCTTTTGGACCCCACTGAACAAATGGTTCCGCTTCATCAATCCCATATCCACTAGTCCATGTTATTGTCATCTGCACAACGAGTTCAAGATTATATTATCTGCTGAAGGTCAGCTCAAAATTACAATAACAATGAAAGTTCATCCAAGCAACACTATAGAAGGTCCAGGAAGCCTAGTGCTGCACAAGCCTAATGTGAGGGGAAACACTGCAACAACACATGAAGTTGCTCATTTCCCTACAAGCCAAGAAGAACATATATGCCCTCATTATGCAGGCTCTCATTACAGAGGAGAAACTTTACTTACTTCATTCCATTCTTTTCCTTGTGCTAAGCGTGGGTAAACTGGGGCATTTGGATTTGTGAAAGATACTGTGTTTGACAGTGCCACAAGCTTTGGCTATGATAACACAACAGAAAGAATACAGTAATAAATAACTGCAGAAAGGATTAACCAACATTAATTTCAGAAAACAATCATAATTTTCATATGATAAATGTTAAAGACAATCACAAACGCGTAAATTTGAAAAGAAAAGAAAAAGAAAGGAAGAAGAAAAATATAATTTCCAAGCCCCGGACAGAACAAGGTCTAAAACTGGAAGATAGGAAGATGAATACAAAATCAGGCTCCTATATATAGCAACAAGAAACAACTAAGTGAGGGAATTAGAATGGCTTAACCATAACCAGAAAAAACTACCAAAACTGATTCCAGTGCTAACATTTGGAGAACTTCATTAAAGCATATTGGCAAATTTAAGCAAATAAGCTTGTACATTCACGTGGGATAATTAGGAAGGATGGTCTTATAGATATCCTTGGTAAGCCACCAAACAAATTTGAGAGACAGGTAAAGTTGAACTCAGCAAATTTCAGCAGATTCACTTTGAACCAAACACATTTTCTGATGGATATTTCATCTTCAGTAGTTTGACGGAAAGGAAGGAAAATGATATAAGAAATATTGCCAGTATAAAGAGCAAATTGGCTCAAAATTCAAAATCAAGGTGCCGAAAGGATGTAGAATTCTGACATTGATAAATGTAGGGGTAAAGAAGACAACTGCAGAAGGAGCAAAAATAGATAGTGCTAAATGGACAGATACATGTAGCTGGCATAGCTGGAGTAGAATTTGTCTTCCTAAGTTCATATAATCCTAACCAGTTGTGAGAATCATTACTTAATGATGGCTTCTCTGTGGACTTGTCTTTCTATCAAGGGAAAAATTGTAATAAAATGAAGCAAAGATATTGTTTTTCTGGAAGATCATTGTGTGAGCCAAACTAGTTATGATATGAGAGGCAGAATACAAGGTAAGAAATGTTGAGAACATACATTCAACAAACCACTTGAAAATAGTGCAAAAGAGAAGTCTGATCTCTGATTAATCAACAGAAGCTTCAAGGACCCTTTTCCTGTATCTTTGTATTCAGGACTAGAGTAGTTCGTGTACTGATACTGTTGAAAGAAGGAAACCATACTAATTGTAACTTATATTCTATTTATAATAGAAAACAGGCTAAGGAACAAAACTTGAAAATATCATGGCAAAGAAGTACTGCCACACGAACCTTAATAGGTGCAGAACACAACAATGGTGGAGTAACCCTTGGATTTTCTGCAAGGCAGGTTGAAGCACTGCAAATTTTGAAATAGCCATGTTTACTGTCAGAATAGTACTCCTAAGCTCAATTGATTAATACAAAACAAAATACATAAATGTTTGTACATCAAAATCAGTTTACAGGTCACAGCAGTAGAATTTAACCATATTAATAGAAATGTTCTACCTGAAATTGGCAGGAGAAAATACTCCAATCCAGTCATCGATTGATGGGTTCTGAGAACTATACTCCACTGTAACCCACTCTGTATTTTGACCCTAACATGGTGAAGATTTTTGCATTAGTCCCAACCCTGTTGATTCAATGACCCAATACAGAGTTGAAGGGTTCGAAAACTAGCATGTAACCCAGAAAGGATGAACTTTAATGAACCAGGAGAACTAAACATGAAGAAAGAGAAATTACAAAGGAGTTGCTAGTTAAGCTTACATTCAATCCTAGAACATCAGGAGAGGCTTTGACATAAGCACGATTGTCAAGAGCAAATGTTGCTTTGTAAACATCAATTCTTGAAAGAGGTTGGACTCCATGTGAATTTGCGTTCTGAAGTATTGCAAGAACCAAAAGAATGGTCCAGAAGATCAATCTCAGCCCTCTCATCCCCACAACAAACATCTGAAATCACTTATAGGAAGTCATCTAACCGAAAAAAAAAGAATAGCTTCCAACTTCAACAGAGCACTACTCCAAGAATAAAAGCCTATGCTTGTACATAACAGCCCAGCAAAATATACGATAACCACAGTTTCTCAATGCCAAAAGCAAGGTGAAAAGCAGTTTAAGCTAAGCTACCAGTCTCAGTTCAAAACGTAGACTAAATTTGAAGGAGATGAATATACTAGAGATGCAAGGTGTTCACCTTGATTTATACCGTAACACTTGAGAGTCAAAAGTCAAAAAATTTTTAAGCATACCCCAAAAGGAGTATGAATGAAGATGACAATATGGGCACTAGGAAAAAGAAACAAGATGAGCAACCGAACTAGAGAATGTAACACTGATCAGTAGAAATTTTGAAGCGTCGGGAAAAGTTGTGGCTAGTCAACTGAGTTTTGGACTGTAAACGAAGTAGTGGAATGTGCTGAAGGAAGATTCCTTTTGGATCATATTCATATTATTCAGAGTCTCACACTTAGATTTTAAAGGGAAAAGTCAAACTTATAAAATGTTAAACTTGCTGCCCAGACATCATCGACAGGCAAGTTATTAGGAAGTGGGAACTGGGAAGCGTGGGTTACTTACTTTCTAGGCCAACTTATAACTGCTTGCGTGGCAAATGTAAGGAATTTGGATAAGCTAGAAAAATCCCATGTTTTCTGCTGCCATTAACAACTTCAGAGTGAATTTCTATTCATACAGGAACCTGCTTTCTCCTTGAATACGAACCATCTGTAAAAGTTGGCTCAGCGAAATAAAATCACCCCATCAAACGAAACAAGGCGTGCCAACAAGTTATCCAGTGGCGGATTTGGTTGAATGCAAAGTTTCTCTCAAATTATTATGGCATTTGGAAATTACCCTTTTGAGCAAATGGCATTGTCAACAAAAAACGCAAAGGAAACAAGTAAGATGTCCATCAAACGTCAATGCATATATGAATACAATCCGATAATACATCCAACGAGCAACTGTAGATTTACAGCTGTCATCCGATAAATATCAACTATAGTTCCATTGTAAATCTCTCTCTCTAATGACAATTTGTTATATTGATGGAATGAATCTTCATGAATTTTTGGAGAAACCTTAGTTTGGATGAGATATTTAAGGTAAAATTTCCACTTCATAGAGAAGCTTTCCCTTTCCAGCAACTCCTCGAACACTTCCGAACCCATTTTCTGAATCAAAATTTCTGAGATGATGATACCTTCTTCTTCAAACAAGAAGGTAAATCCACAGCAGCAAAATGACTACAATGAAGAAGAGGAAAGAGAGAAACCAAAAGGTTAGCCAATATAGAAAAATGTTTATGACTTAGAATAGTAGGATCAAGAAAATGTACAGAAAAGGGTTCATAAGAATGGGCCAGTGACCATGTGATAATGTCCACCGCCTGCTTTGGAAGAGTATGTCTCATATTCATGCAATAATTAGCTAAATTAAAGAGTGATTTCCTGCTTTAACCAAAATCAACATGGAGAAGAGGCCGAGGAAGTTGGCAAACATGCATGTTGGAAAGCATATAATGGCATTTAGGCAGAAAGAGAAGAAAAGATTTGAAAAGCAATATGCCACTGCAAAAAGTCCTACAAAGGGAAGACTTTTGGGGTAAAAAGTTAATGAAAATAAAGTGAAAAGACAAGGAAGTGCCATGTACATACCGCCAATAAAAGCCTTAGTTTGAATTTTGGGTTCCTGTGCCCCACTCCAGGTATACCCTATTCATATCAAAAACATGTAAAACAGATAAATTCAGTAATGAAAAGAAAAAGGATTATAAACAAATCCTATGCGCAATTAGAGTTCGTAGGTCTCTTGAACTAACCATGTCCAAAGCAAGTTGTGGTAGTGTTCACACCATCCCGGCAAATGCAAGAAAATGACTCATCCAGCCCAGAAAAGCCACACAAACCTCCACTGGTTTCACAGTCCTTACATGCAGGTGTGTAGTATGAATCATTATACTGCAAAGAAATTCCAAATTTCCACTTCATGGGATCCCCTTCATCTCCAAACTCATATATTGATGTGTATGATGAGCACTGGAGTTTTGGAAGATCTAAAGAATAACCTGATCCTACTCCCATCAGTGAATCATAAACACAACAGGTGGATGTGGGTGCATTTTGTGGCAACCCAATTCCAGTTACCCCTTTGCAAGAATACAAACCACTACAAACACGAGAACCTGACCCGGTATCACACAAATCCTCACTTGGATCAAACACAGGTGATGTGGTTGAGCAACCAAGCAGTACAAAGATATTGTCACCTGTTAGAGTGAACGGACTGGCTCGATCCAAGCTAAAGCTTCCAGAATTCTGCATTGAAGAACAGGTTGACATGAAAGGGTCTGCAACAACAATAGAGCTGGTTGGGTAGTCAATGGAAGAAACAGTGTAAATGCCAGTGCCAGTAGAGAACTGTAGAGCACCACCGCTGCATTTTACATATCTAGCAAAGTAAGGGTGTCCACATCCAAATCCAGTACCAAAGGGAAACTGAACCGGTATTGTACCACAAGTGTCGTTACATGTACCATAGGTTGGAATGGAACGATCAGCAGGACGGCTGGCAGCAGACACTTTGTGGAGTTGGGGAAGCAAGAACAGGATGTTGATGAAGAGGCATGCACCTGGGAGAGGTGGCATGGTTAAAGGGCTCTGGGTGGGGAAAGAATTAAGATGCAGTTGATAGTTGATATGAGAGGGAGTAATGGCATTCTTTTCGGTGGAAGTAATCATATTTCAACATTGCTCCGCTTTTCCATCCTAAAAAGAAGAGCCTAAACAGCATGTGCCTTCTAGCTATACAGCACCATGTACTTTATGACAATTTTGGTCACAGCATAGTCCAAGTTACTGTGAGAATATATCAAATACCCTCTTCACCTAAGAATGAAGAGGGAGATTAAACAGATGCCACTGAACCCATAATTTTACAACATCCTGCTGACCTTGTGACCACCTTAGCTTCTAGGGTCAAAAGTTCCTTTCGGTATTCCAGCCTGCAAAACATGAAACAAGAGACCTAGGGAAGAGAAAATACAAAACGGAGAAAATGAAAAGAGCTTATGAAAAGAAGGTCGCTTATGTGATAGTAGCATTCATTCATGCGAACGGGGAAGAAAAATTTGTCATTCCATTCATGGAGCATGTCTTGTAAATTTAATTTTAGTTGCATTTTACAAGATGTATACTGTTTCAAACTGCTTACAAGCAGAGTCAGAGTTCCTAAATCCTCTGTCACTATTGGGTAAAAAAGTGGTCTTTTAAATCCTAAAAGATAGATATGTAGTTCACCTAATGGTTAATGGTATTTAATAGATGTATAACAGACAAGGAAATATTTCCTCTCAAGTTCGAGCACCAAGCAGCCGAGAAAACCAGACTAACCCCCTCAGATCAACTATTGGACTTGCACCAGATTCAAGCTCTTCTCCATCAAAACAACCACAGCACATCCACCTGAATTGCAGTGGGCCTGTTATTACAAGCAGAGGCCTAGGCCAACTAGGAATCACCAATGAAATGATGCATTCACGTAGTCAAATACAAGACTAGAGGCTTTCAATTTCCTTGACATCTCCATATTTCAAGTGAACCCAAAGTAGCACAAAGTTCTTGGTGTTGATACCTCAAGACAAGTAAGAATCTGTGAGATTTGAAGTTCCTCTATTTCTCAGGACTACTGCCGATATTTATGCATTCAGACCAGCCCAATTCTTGAAAGCAATAAGTGCCTCCATTTTCCTGAAGCTCCTTCTCCTCAACTTTGACACTTTAAGCTTCTTATGCTTCTCCATGAACGCTTGCTTGTACCTCCACTTATCCACAAAAATTTTCATCTCTTGAGACTTCTCCACAACTTGCATCACTGCATCAAAGAAACCCCCTTTAACAAGAGCGTATAGGAATGCATCAACTAAGTTGTGGTCAAACTTGATGCCTTTCTCTCCATCACCTGAAATTTTCCATTTAACCTCATTCCATAGCATCAAAACACTGAAATATTTCTCTGCAGTCACATACCCATTAATCAGAGACAAATATGTTTGATCATTCGGCTCAAACTGCAGGAAAGTCATCCTTCTGAAAGTCCTCCTAGCATCTTCCAACCGCCCAGCTTTACAGAAAGCGTGAATAATTGAGTTCCAGTCATGAGTTTTCACCTCAATGCGAGGGTCTTCAACAACTTCATCTAAAAATGCGGCCATCAACTCAGGCCGTTGATTCTCCATCAGACCAGTCATTATGGTAAGGTAACTCCCTTTCAGATCAGGTATTCTTGCCTCTCTCATATCTCTAAACAATGTAAACGCCGACTGAAAATCCTGACTTGCCATGGATGCTTCTATCAGTGCATCATACATTTCTGCATCCAGCTGAAGTCCTGAACTACTAATATCCATAACTAATTGAGTAGCTTCAGCAGTTCTAAGCTCCTTGCAGTAAGCCTTTAAGATAGGCACATAAACTCCAAGCCCCACAGAACCTCCCTGAGCATTCATTTCATCAAGAATGCTGTGTGCCTTATCTGCTAACCCAAGATTAATACAAGCGCTAATGATGCCATATCCAATAGACTTGTCAACCTCAATCACGGAAGACTGCAACTTTTGAGCTTCCATGATCAAACAAGCTAAACTCTTTATAACCCCATTTTGAAGATACCCTTTAACCACTTCACAATAAGTTTCATCACTGAAATCCAAATCTTTCCCATTATCTTCTCTCAAACTACGCAAAATGGTTGCTGAAACTAAGTCTATTTTGCCAGACTTGACATACCCTCCAATCAAACTACCATAAACCATCTTTTTATTCGAAAAACCAAACTCAACCATCAAATTTTTTAACTCATCTATTTTCTCTTCATGCCCTTTCAATGCATACAAATAAGAGAGAAACCCAAAACTCGATTCATCAGGCCGAACCCCCAAAACCGACATAGTTTCCACAACTTTTTCAGCATCAGAAACTGATTTAAGTTCATAACAGCAACACTCTAGTGCAGCATTACAAGCAGCCAAATCAGGTTTCATATAATCCAGCTTTTCATCAATTGCTATCCTACAAGATTCCTCGAAAACGCTTAAGAATGCAACAAAGCTACCATTTTTCCTACTAATATCAACAAGCATATCACCCCACAAGCCAAAAGGCATAAAATACCTGTTTTTGAGCATGCATTTTATAAGAGCAAAAGCAGGGGCAGCAGTGTTGGCAATTTTCATGGAAAGCAGAAGAGAAGTCACAGTTTCAAAAGATAGCAACTTTGGATTCTTTTCAATGACAAAAACCACAGAGGCAAATGCCCTTTTGAGATTATGGGTGTCTTTCAAGGAAGACAGGTATGTAATGAGGGAGTTAGTGAGGGGCTTATTGGGAAAAGTGGAGTTGGTGGTGAGGGCCTTGAAGGACTTCCAGGCTTCATCAGTGTTTTGGGTGAGGAGGGATTTCTCAAGGGTGGTTTCTAGAGTGGTTTTTTGATCTTGGGTTAGGGTTTTTGTTTGAGAATTGGTGGAGTCTTGGGCTTGTTTTGGTTGTTGGTTTGGCTTTAAGGCAAAAACAGTAGGTTGAAGGAAAGAGTAAAGAGTTGGGATTTCAGTTGTGGAGGAAGAAGAGAAAGGTCTATGGGTAAGTGAAGACAGTGATTTCCTCCACATCTCTCTGTAAACAGCAAAGATTGCAGAGCCCTGCTGCTGTTGATAGAAGGATCGGCGCTTTCGTTTTATATATATTTCTGATATAATTAATTTTGTAATTAAATAAGATAAGAAGCTGGAATAGCTCAGTTGGTTAGAGCGTGTGGCTGTTAACCACAAGGTCGGAGGTTCAAGCCCTCCTTCTAGCGTCAATATTTTTTTATATCTTTGAAAAATTTTTAATATTAATATTGTAGTTTTTATTTTTATATTTTTGAAATTTTGGTTTTTTTACTAAAGAATTTTTTTTCAATTTTTGTTTTTTATATCTTTGAAAAAATTTTAATATTGTAGTTTTTATTTTTATATTTTTTAAATTTTGGTTTTTTTACTAAAGAATTTTTTTCCAATTTTTTTTTTCAATTTTTGGGTTTACTAAATATTTTAATTTCTAAAAAGAATTCTAATTTTTTGTTTTTCTAAAAAAAATTTCTTTTTTGGGATTTTTTTCTTTAATTTTTTAAAAATAATTTTTCCAATTTTTTAGTTTACTAATTTTCCTTTGATTATTTTTCTTTATTTTTGGGAATTTTTTTGTTTTTTAGTAAAGAATTTTTTCCAAAATTTTTTGGGTTTACTAAATATTTTAATTTCTAAAAATAATTGTAATTTTTGGTTTTTCTAAAAAGATTTTTTCCTTTTTTGGAAATTTTTCTTTAATTTTTTAAAAATATTTTTTTCCAATTTGTTTTTCAATTTTTGGGTTTACTAATTTTCCTTTGATTATTTTTCTTTAATTTTCTAAAAAGAATTTTTTTCCAATTTTTTTTTTCAATTTTTGGGTTTACTAATTTTTCTTTGATTATTTTTCTTTATTTTTTTAGAAGGAATTTTTTTTTTAATTTTTGGGTTTAATAATTTTTCCAAAAGGAAAAAGTGGTCAACAACCAAGTTTAATTGACCTGGGAACATAGCGAAGTAGATCAGTTTGGAGACAAAAGCTGACCCAGGATACAACTGAACTACTTATGTTTGATAAGGAAAAACACAAAACATAACAAGAAGTTGGCCATGGAAGACTCAAAGATACAGCAGCAACTGATAATCGAAGAATGGAGCGGATCTTCTTCTACCAAGCTTTTCAAAACTGCCAGTATCACTGCCTCCTCTTCTTTCTCCATTACCAGGTCTTTCACTTTGAACTCGTTCCATTGAATTTCTCCATCTTTCTCTCTTTCTCTTCCCTTACCAAGTTTTTTGCTTTTAACTTGGTGGAAACAGATCGGCTGATCGTTTCAACCATGTCTGGAGACGATTCCTCGATGCATTTGTTCCCGAGGCAAGTTTTCTTCTCTCTGCTTGTTTCCATCGTTTGGTGCTATATAATTACAAATGTAAAAATCCATTTTTTGTTTGTTGGGTCTCTTTTCTTTTACATATTCTTTCCTTTATTGGATACCCAAACAAGGAAAACGAGTTTACTTTTGTTTGTTTTCGTTTGAAGTCTTAAAGTCA